AATGTATGCATTTTCATTTTGCTTATATTCCCCATACAATTGCACCCCCACCCCTTATTTTGACCCTAGTCCTTCCTCTCCTCTCCCCTCCCCCACATCAGTCTTTCTCCTTCTGACTTCTTTGCTTAGCATAATCCCCCCCAGTTCCATCTATGCTGTTACAAATGGCAAGATTTCATCTTTTTATATTTTTTAAATCACTGAATAGTATTCCATTGTGTATATATACCATACCTCCTCCTCCTTTTTTTTTTTTTTTTAAGATTTATTTATTTATACAAACTGGGGTATAGTCAGAGGTGTGGGAGGGTGAGAGAATTCATCAGAGACAGAGCTGGGAGCAGAACAGGCAGACGGACCAAAGACACTGCTGAGGGGAGCAGTGGGCGAGGCAGGAGATGTCTACTGTGCCATGTGGGTTGTTCCCCAGGCGTCTGGGAATCGAACCTGCGCTGCAAAGGCAGTGGAGAGCCTTACAGCACTGTGCTCAATCCAGTGCGCCACCGGGGAGGCCCATATATACCACACCTTCTTAATCCACTCTTCTGTCATTGGGCATTTAGGTTGTTTTCATAACTTGGCTATTGTAAATAGTGCTGCAGTGACCATGAGTGCGTCGTATGTCCCTTTGAATTAGTGATTTTCTATTTTTCTTTTAGATACCTAGGAGTGGAATTACTGGATCATATAGTATATTTAGGGCTGGACCAGTCTGTATTTCTACCTTTAGTGTACAAAGGAGGCTTCCTTTTTCTCCATACTTGTGCTAACATTTGTGTTTTTTTCAGTGTGATAGATTTTTTAATAAAATTGATGTGGAGAAGAAGAAGAAAGGACATTCCTGATAAAACTATCAAAATTACCATTTCCTTGTGGGCAAATGTCCTGCCAGATAGTGTTGGCCTGAAGTGGGACCGCTGAGGCCTGAAAGCTTGCCACAAGTCTAAGGTCCTTCTGGCATCAGGCAGTCTCCCAGAGAGCTGAGACAAAAGGAGAGACTCAAAATTCAAAATATACTACATCAGGTTAACAGCTGCCATTGTCTCTGCCAAGGGCCAGGAGCAGCCTCCCTGTGTCTCTCACCCATGTATCTCTTCCAGGTATCTCTCCTTGCCTCTCCTCCATGTGTCTCCTTGAAGTACATCTCAGAGTGTCACCTCTCAGCAGTACCAAGGGGCAAGACAGAGAAGAAAAGCCTTTTTTTTTTTTTAATATGGGCCATTCTCATGAGAGTGAAATGGTAACTCATTGTGTTTTTGATTTACATTTCCCTGATAAGTGATATTGAACATTTTCATATGGCTTTTGGCCTTCTATATGTCTACTTTAGAGAAATGTCTACTTTTCCTGTCCATTTTTTGATTGGGTTATTTGTTTTTATTGAATTTTGAGTTTTTCATAGATCGTGGATATTAATGCTCCTTATTGGAAGTATGATGTGCAGATATTTTCTCCCACTCAGTAGGGTGCATTTTTATTTATTTTAAAAGATTTATATGCATACAAGAACTGGGGTACAGGCTAGAGGTGTGGAGGGTGAGAGGACTGACCAGAGATAGAGCAGGGAACAGAACAGGTGGATTGACTGAAATACGTTGCTGAGGGAAGCAGCGGGTGAGACAGGAGAGGTCTGCTGCGCCATGTGGGTCAGCTCCCTGGCCGGGGATCGTACTCATGCTGCAGTGGCTGTGGATAACTTCATAGTTGCGTCCTAACTATTTTAATGATAATTTCTTTTGCTGTGCAGAAGCTTTTTAGTTGATATAGTCCCACTTGTTTATATTTTTGCTTTTGTTCCTCTTGCTGTATTAGTTCCCAAAGCCTTTGTAGACTCCCCAAAGACATCACTCAAGCCAATATCATGGAATGTTTTGCCTGTCTTCTTTTATGTATTTTATGGATTCTCGTCTTACACCCAAGTCTTTGATCCATTTTTTAAAATTCATTTTTGTGTCTGGTGTGAGATAATTGTTTAATTTCATTTTTGTTCCACTAGGTGTAAGGTTATACTATTTATTTGAGCTGTTTCTTGCTTCTTGATCTGGGCCTGTATGACTATAAACATACCCTTTTGTAATGCTTTTGCTGTATCTCATAGTTTTCTGGTAGCTCATGTCTTCATTTTCATCTGTTTCCAGGTATTTTAGAAATTTCTTATTTGATGAACCTAAAAGTCACTTAGTAGTATGTTGTGCAAGTCTCCACATATTTAAGGTTTTTCCCACTTTCTTTTGGTGGTTGACTCTTTTGATACCACCAAAAGATTCTTGATATGAGTCAGTCTTTATGACTATATTGACACATGTTTTGTGACTTAACATGTGGTTATCCTCAAGATTGTTCCATGTGCTCTTTTAGATTTGTTAATAGTTTTATTTTCATTCTCCTTTGTTTTGTGTTATTCCTTCCTGATGTATTGAGCCCATAATCATATAGTGTCCATCCCTGTCTCTTGTTACCTTTTTTAGCTGAAGTTTGTCTGATAGAAGTATGGCTCTCCCTGCCTTTTTTTGGGGGGGGGGACCCATTTATTTGTAGGATTATTTTTCTATCATTTACTTTTATACTATGTTTACCTTTGTAACTCAGACTGTTCTCCTGAAAACAGTAGAATGTTGGGTTTTGTTTTCTCATCCAACCTCCCATTGTGCTTTTCCTGTTTTCCATTTACAATTAAATGGTAAATGGTGTGTTCCATTCACATTTAAGGTGGTTATTGCTATATGAGGATTGGCTACTGCCATTTTTGTCTTTAGTTCTGTTTCTATTTCCTGGTTCAATTTTTATGGATTTTCTTCTCTTTGATTTATTTATTTATTTTTTAAAGATTTTATTTATTTATTTATATAAGCACTGGGTACAGTCAGAAGCATGGGAGGGTGAGAGAATTCACCAGAGCTAGAGCGGGGAGCAGAACAGGCAGACTGAAGAAGTACACTGCTGAGGGGAGCAGTGGGTGCGGCTGGAGAGATCTGTGTGCCATGTGGGACCCTCACCTGTGGCTGGGGATGGAACTGGCACTACAGAGGCTGCGGGCAGCTTTGCAGCCCAGCGCTCAACCACTGAGCCACCAGGGAGGCCCTTCTCTTTGATTTAGATAGAAGATGTTGGTAAGATTTTTATTTCTCCATCATGTCTAAAGGAGAGTCTTGCAAAGTATAGCATTCTTAAATGGCAGTTATTAATGTTAAGTATTTTGAATGTCATTTTATTCTCTCCTTGTATTGTTGCTTCATAGAAGTGTGATATATGCTTGTTGGGGGTATCTTTATAGGTTACATGTATATTTTTCCCCCATAGTCCCCTTCAATATTTGTTTTTCTGTCTTGAAATCTTGGTAGTTTCACTACTGTGTCTTGGTGTAGGTGTTATTTTATTTAGATATACAGGTGTTTTTTAGCCTTTGAACTTTTATATTCAGTTTCTTCCCCAAGTTTGGGAATTTTTCTTCTGTTGTTTCTTTGAATAAACTCCATGTTCCCCACCTCTCTCTCCTTCTGGGATACTCCTTATCCTGTGTTGCATAATGGAGTTGGGTAGTTCTTGAAGTGTTTCTTCATTTTTCTCTTTGCATTTTTTCCTTTCATTTGGGTCCTTTGTGCATTATTACTTTCAAGGTCACTGTTTCAATCCTCCATAATTTTCTGTAGATTTTTAAATCTTATCTATTGAGCATTTGTATTAATTTTCTTACTTAAAGCTTCAATTTCTATTTTTCATTAACTTTACTTCTCAGCTCATTCATTTATTTCGGAAATTTCTGGCCTGTACCCCAGCTCTTGTATGCATAAATAAATAAATCTTTAAAAAATTAAAAAAAAAGAGTATCTGTAGTATTCAGAGATTTGAACTACTATGGCTTTTCCAGCAGGTGGTACGTGTGGTTTTGTGATTTCAGAGTTTTGGGTTCTCCCAGTTTCTGTAGATCCAGAGACTTGGTCTTGCAGCTGCTGAGTCAAATGGGTGGGAGAGGGGCCTATAGGTGTCTAGCCATTTGTGTGAATGCTTTGGGGGGACAGTTAGATTGTTTGTGGCACCACTGATAGCCCCTTTACAAGGTTCCAGACCCCACTCTCTATAGTCTGCTCATTGTCAGTGAGCTTCAAGAGGTCAGTAAAAGTGCCAAGAGGCAATGAAAGGGGAGTACAGCCCAGCACACTGTCTTTTCACTAGGTACCTAGCCGGCCAGGAGTACCCCAGCTCCTCTGTACATATTTACTCTCAGTCAAGGGTATATGCTTCCACACTTCTTAGCTCTTCCTTCCCCGAGGCCTCCAACTAAGTGATTGCATTCTGGTTGCTATGGCAGCTCCTGCCCTAGACCACAGGCTTCAGGCAGTTCTCTCCACACACCTCTTGTTTAATGAATCATGAATCTCTTCTCTGTTCCTTCTGGTGCTGTTTGTGTTGGTCTCTGATGGAGGTGTTTCACTTTCCTCCTAAGCTACAGGACTCTCCTGCTATAATGCCCAAATAGTTAATGTAGATGATCCTTTCAGGCGTGAACCAAGGAACCTGCTCTGATGTTCTAATGCCATCTTTTATATGTAAATAAAAGAATTTGCATTTGTCAGTCCATAGCAAGGTAAAACTTTCCTCCATGAATTTAATACTTCATTTTCTTCTTAAGTGATAGTACTGTACCATATTTCTTGCCTATTTATTGGGATTTTATATGATTGTATAAACTCATAGTCCTCCATTGTGAATCATATTGATTATACAGGGATTTTTGTATATTGCTTTCCCTTTTATTCTGGTTTTGAATTTTCAGCATGCAGAAAATTTTGTAAATCTTCAGAACACTTATAGTCATTCTTGGTACTTGGTATTTACTTTCTTATTCATCTGTATAATTTTTTATATTTGCTAAAATATTTGTAAATAAATTTGCAAAGCAGACATTTTTACATTTGTGGCATAGTTAATAAAGCATTTTTGTAGTTTTAATTACATGTCTAAGGATGACATTTTCTATATTTCTTTCTTTCTCCCTCTAGGCACCCAACAGGAGGATCCTTTATTCGACCAAACAAAGTAAATTTTGGAGTGGACTTTCTTACTGCAATTAAGAACCGCTATGTGTTAGAAGATGAACCAGAGGAAAATGGAAATAAGCAGATTGCTACAATTGGAAAGAAACCTGTGGAAACTGTTGGTTTTGACTCTGTCATAAAATATCAAAGGTAAGTGTAATTGATAATGCTAGAGCTGACTTCTGCAGTTTCGTCAAGGTTTAGGATTTAATTTTACCTAACTGTATGTTGATACTACAGATTTTCCTCCTTAGTCTATCCTTTTTGTATAAACAACATATTGAAATTAGAAGAATTTGTGGATTGAGCATTTAGGGAAATTTAAATCCTTATTTTAGTACAGAGTTGTTGGGCTTCTAAATTAAATCATTGATTTGTTATTAGTATTTACACCATCAAGTGACTAAAGCTGACATTTTGGTCCTTCTGGATTTCATGGGGACATTTCCATCTAGATGATGTGAGGAGTGGAAACAGAAGCCTAAATTGTGAATTATATGATGGTATTACCTAGTAGCAAGTATTTTTCATCTCTCATTGCACACTTCTGTCACTTGGGGCACTTTTTGAAACATGCAGAACCCATCTTTGACCTGAAGTACCCCAAATTATCATCTAGTTATCTGAGGGGGCACTAAATAATACATTTAAAACTGCTGAGCCCAAACATCTTCTGTTCTCTGAAGCTCTCTGTACAATTTGATTCTGTGCTAAGAAGCTCACTGTTCATTCGAATGACCTGGCTCAGAGGGAGTGGAAGCTGATACTCACACAAAAACACAATTGCGAAAGAACCTTCCAGGTTATACAGATTTAGTGTTGCTAGTGCTGCCGTGTTTGACCCTGACCTAGATGAGGAGTCCTGGGAGTGATGCCTAGTGGTCACATGGAGAGTAGGTTTGCAGCCACTTGGCATAGACCTGCAGTCTTTTACTTTCAGTTTCTAAAGTAAAAGAAAAAAACTGGCTTCATTCAAAGAAAGGTTATTTCTATCTTTTTGTTTCTGTTATTATAAAGATTTAACATAATGTAAAATTTAAAGTGCACACAGAAACATATTGAAGAATCAATTCATTTCTTGGTACCTCTGTTTTTTGGAATAGATGCCCAGCATTGAAAGAAAACTCAGAATTAAGATATTTTAAAAAACAAACAACAGCTTGGCCTATTTGTTAATTAGAAGGCACTATGCATTCATTGTTGAGAACTTAGAAAATAAAAATTGAGCAAAAGAAAGTCACAGCTAATGCCACCACTGAGAGGTAACTATCATGAATGGTTTTTTGCTGTTTATCCCACTGATTTACTTGGATTTAAAGAACTATGCTCTTTGTAGTGTTAGAGTTGTTTATTTTTCCACTTAAAATGCAAATATTTAAATATCTTTTACTTCAAAAGAGATATTTTTCTTATTAATCTCTTTCCAAGAATACCTAACATAGACTCTGTGAATTTTAATAAATTGCAGACTGATTTTTCTCCGCTAGTTTATGAACAACTGCATAAGTCATGAAATTTTTTTGGTGAGTCATCCTACTACTTGAGTATCATTGTGTTCAGGAATTAGCTAGTGTCTTTCTTGGAATAGAGCCAGTGTTGGAGTCAGTCAGGCTGCTTTCATATGGCAGCTAAGCCACTGTCTAGCTCTGACACAAGTTAGAGCTAGTTAATTACTGTTTTTTAGCTTCAGTTTCTTCGTTTACCGAATCATACCTAGGCCAGTAGAGCTACTGTGAATAGCAGGTGAGATCCTTCAGTGAGTCATCTTTGTTAGGAATGTATCTCCCTAATAATATTCAGCTGACTAGCTTTGAGTTTGTACCACCAAGATTTACCATAAAGGAATGGAAAACAACAAGCCTGATGTGTGCTTTCTTTTGGAGATGGCTTTGGCTGTCCAGTGAGCTCTGTGTTGAAACCCTTGTAAACTTGGTACCAAGGTTTCCTCCAGGTTCTGCAACCAACTCCCTGGAGACTGCCAGGGTCTTTTTAATTTCAGAGGGCAGCAGCGACATCTGCTGGACATGGCACAAACTACTAGTTTGAGATAGTCACAGTTTCATGTTCCTACATTTCTTTTTGATTTTTTTTTTAATCCCTGCAAAACTGGGTTTTTGATGATTGCAAGTATCATCAAAACTCATCATGGAACAGGAACTACAAGTGGTGGTGTCCAGTTTGACTTTAGGGCATGGGAAGTTGTGCAGTGCCCCACTGGTACTACATTTACAAGACATAAATTTTCAATTGTTTGGCCCTAACTGCTTATTAAATGAAACTGTGGGATCTTTCTTTTGGCCTAGGCGCACTGTGAAAAGTTACTCATACACAATTGGTGTCAGGAACTGAGAACATTTCGAGTTTCTGCCCTAGAACTTTGCTGCTGTCTTTCCCCTTATTTTTGATGATTATAATATTCTCTGCTTGCATTTCTCCCAGAAGTTGTCAGTTCTATGTTTATTTTTACAAATATACTTATAACTTACATACTTATAACTTACTCTATATCGGGGTATTTTGAAAGCTTCACAAACATGAACTCACTAAATTATTGTAGCAGTTTTTTTTTTTAAATTGTGGTGAGAGCTACATATCACAAAGGTTACCATTTTAACAATTAATTTGGTGTTTTAAGAGATTTTATTTTTATTTATTTATGCATAGAAGACCTAGGGTGCAGGCCAGAGGCGTGGGTGTTGAGAGGATTCATCAGAGACAGAATGGGGAGCAGAACAGGTAGATCTACAGAGATATACTGCTGAGGGGAGCAGCGGGCGAGACAGGAGTGGTCTGCTCTGCCATATGTGGGTTAGCTCCCTGGCTGGGGATTGAACTCTGCCTCAGAGGCTGGAGATAGCTTGAGAGCACTGAGACTTAACGCCTGCACCACCAGGTAGGCTCCCTTGTAACTTATTTTTAAGTGTGCAGTTCAGTAGTGTTAAAAACCATCACCACTGTTGGTCTCCAGAACCCTTTCCTCCTCCCAAACTGAAACAGTGTACCCATCAAACAACTCTTCATTCTGTCCCCCACACAGTCCTGCACCAACACCCTGCAACCCCATCCCTGCCCACCCCCGCCATCCAACCAGGCCTGGCAACCCTCATTCTATTTTCTGAATGGGCATTTCACTCCTCTGGGTACCTCATATAAGGGGAATCACATCAGTATTCTCCCTTTGTGACTGGCTTATTTTACTTAACATGATGTCTTCCTGGTACACCCTTGCTGCAGTCAGAATTTCCTTCCTTTTTTAGGCTTAATAATAAGTCATTATGTATGTAGACCACATTTAATTTATCCATTCATCTGCTACTGAACACTTAAGTTGCCTCCACCGTAGGTGGTTGTGAGCAATGTGACTATGATCATGGGTGTGCATCAGAGCATTTTAAAGATGTAGAATCTGGGCCTCACTGGTAGTGCAGGGGTTAAAGACGGTGCTTTCAAGCTATTGCCAGCCACTGCAGCAAGAATTTGATCCCAGCTGGCCAGGGAGCAACCCAAATGGCGCAGCAGACCTCTCCTGCCTTGCCTGCTGCTCCCCTCAGCAGTGTATTTTAGTAGATCTGCCTGTTCTGCTCCCGTTCTCTCTGGTGAATCCTCTCACCTCACTCCCCCCGCACCTCTGGCTTACACTCCAGTTCTTGTATGCATAAATAAATCTTAAAAAAAAAAAAGATGTAGAATCTGAGACATAGAAATATTAACTTGCCAAGGTCTAAGGAGGTGGTGTAATTAGGATTTGAATCCAGGCAGTCTGGCGTGAGTTTCTCTGTTCTTAGATAAACTTTGAGGCATTATAACACATGGGGTCTGCTAATGAATAGAAAACACAGATTTCTACACTTAAAAAGTGGTTATTCTGAGAGTCTCTGGTAAAGCTAAAGATGCACTTGCTCTCTGGGATGTTTCCCTCGAGAGACTTTCACATGTGTGAGCAAGAAATATTCACTAGCTCTTGCTTCAGCGTTGTTTATATGCTAACAGAAGAAAAAATTAATTGTGGCCCACTCAGTGGTAAATATAAGATGTGAACATGAAAGTTGTCGAGTCCATGTGTCAGTACAGTTCTAACTCAGCGCTGCACGGCATACTGATGAGGACAATAAGTTGCAGGATGATATATATATGGTAAAATACAATTTATATGAAGTTCCATAGTATAAAAAAATGCTATAATTTTAAGGGATATGAAAATACACAATAATGCTATGTAAAAATATTTAAGTAAAAAATATTTAAGATTAAACAAACAAATGCAAGGGCTGTGTTATAGAAAGGGGCATAAAAGGCCTCACTTTTATTTGTAATGTCTTCTCTTCTGGGAGGAGGGTTAATGCCTTATTCTCTTAAGTTGGGTGATTGGTACTGGTGTTTTGTATTTTTGGTACTTTTTTATATGTCTGAAATGCTTTTTAACTTTTTAAGGTACCAATGAATAGCATACATGTTTGTGTATACATGTGAACTATGTGTTTTTTTATGCAGTCAACTGAGCAAGTTACGAGAAATTTCTCTGAGGAACTGTGCAGTAAATTGTGCTGGTGACAGAGGAGGAATTGCCAAAGCCTGTCCTAGTATCCTTTTCACTGATAACTTGTTACTGGAATCTGACTTTGGGTTTGATCCAAATACCGCTGCTTGCCTTTCTAATGTCCGTTAGCCCCAACTTTCATCCTCACATCAACTGAGTTTTGCCTGAGGCATTTGCTGCCCAGATAAATCATTTACCTTCTAACCCCATTGCTTTCAGGTGAGGCATAAAGAAGACTTATCTGGAGAGGCTATTTAAAAGGGGACTGATCTGGCTGCCATCTGCCTTCTGCTCATTGCTTTTGGGCTGCTCCCTGCCTTGAGCACAGAGAAAAAGCCCAGCCTGCCAGCTGTCTTGTAGGCAGAGGGAAAACTGTCCAGTGTGAACTGGAGAGCAAAGGAATGGAGAAGGAGCTCTATTACTGTACTGGGGGCCACTGCCCTAGCCCTGGACTGCCTTCTTATGGGTGACAAAAGTAAACCCTCTCCTTTATTAAGGTTCCTGTCTTATACAGCTGAATGCAACTTTGCTACAATATCTCAAAACGGGCTTTTCCAAATTTTGTAATCTCTTCCCTACCTTATTAGTGTTTTCTGCTTCTCTCCCCTTCCATATATTGTTTTTATGCCCACAACTAAAAATATATAAGGGCGGAGTTAAAAACACCTAGTGGCCAGTTCTCTAACTTTAAAGGCTCTTTTCTCAATTCTTTAAGTCTGCCTAATCTCTACTTGATAATTTATGCAAAAGTTAGCAGCTTACAATCTGTTTTCTCTGAGTGACGAGATGACAGATGAGTAGTTCTTTACAGCAGAATATTTCTAGCAGTACCTATATTGTGGTGACGGAAATTAGGACAGAGTTCCCCAACCAGTGTGCTGATGTGTCAGTCTCAGTCTTGGCGGTCTATTGGGACCTGGGGACTTGAGTATTTCTGCTGGGCCGCTCTGTCCACGAGCAGCCCACTCCTTGGCCCTGGTGTGCTGAACAATCATGTCCACTGTCGGTTAGGCTAGGCAGTGGGGTTCAGGGAGTTGAAGTAGATGTGGAGCAGTTTATTTAAGGTGCAAAATGCCAGAGGTGTCTGGAGCATTCTGTAATCTGCCTGGCCTACTCTTAAATGGTTCCAGAAGGTTGGATCAAGGTTTATTTTCAACATGACCAAAAAGATCTGGTCAGTAGGAGCGTTTGGGAATGTAGATGGTTTGGTTAATTTGAGTTGTCGGCAATGTACTAGAGAATAAGCTTGTTGCTTGTTTATTTTGTTCTTTCCCAGCAAAAAATTTTGTTCTTTGCCCCCAAAGACGTGAAGAAATGAGGTTTCAGGAGATAATCAAGTCATGGTTGATATTTGCAGATACAGTGATGAATGACTTGTAGTTACTGATTGAATTCTTGCTCGAAGTTGAAGCATTGCCTTGTATGTTTAATTCAGTCATTCTTTGGGGGTTGATCTCTCATCGAAGCCATTCACTAGGCAGGACACAGGCAGTGGGATGTCAAATTGGAGTGCTCTTCTCAGGAGGAAATGCACCACATCCTGCTTTACCAGCTGACCCTGAACTTGGGGATGAGACTGTCCATGAAATAAGAACTGTGTGGCATTCAGACCTTCTTGGACTGTGTGTGTGTGACTACCCTAACTTAGAATTTTTAGAATTGATTTTAGAATGTAGATGGTCTATTGCTCTGTAGAGAGTAGTAGAAATATTTATAATTTTTGCCTACCCGTGAAAAGTATGAATGAAAAAAGAATTACTGGATTTCTTTCTGTCCGAAGTAATGGCCTTGAGTTAGCAGGGCTCATGGAAATGAGAGGTGGCGCTCAGCTCAGCAATTGCAGGAGCTCAGCGTCTAGTACATACTAGATATACCTGCGGCTGTGGGGAACACAGGGAGTAGAAAATGGGGCCTGTGTGCCGGTGACAAAGGAGGAGATGGAGAAAGAGCTCATGTCCATATGAAACCCCACTGCTCTTGTGGTCTCTCTAATAACACTCTGGGAGTGATTGTGCAGGAGTGTGGCCAAGTCAGTGGAGAAGGGGCCTGCGTGGATAGAGAATATTTGTCCTGTCTGATATTCTGGTGGGCCTGTGCTTGTTACTTTTTGCCTTTTTGTTGGATATGACACCACTGTTACGCTGCTTAAGGCAGAAGCTCAGACTGTTGTAGCCAAAAGTCAAGCTTTTCTCTATTTCCACCATTGAACTTTATTGCTGGTAGTGAGACCTGTGAGCTTGAAGTTGATCATCATACGGGAAAATTATTCGGTCGCCAGTATTCTTGACATTATTTTCCAATCACTACTTGTGCTCATTTTTTTTCTAAAGTCCCCTTAAGGCCAGGAGTTGGCAAGCGTCTCTTTAAAGAGCCAGAGAATAAAATATTCTAAGCCTGTGGAGAACTGACACACTTGAAAGATATTATGTAGATCTTTATAGTCCCACCTTATATGTAACCACTGAAAAACCAGTCTTACCCCCAGAAGATGAAGGAGCCTGTGGTTTGTTTGCAATTTCAGATTCTCCCCTCCCCCATTTCCATTTGCCTTCATTCCCTCATCCTGATCTTATAGAGCTTCCTAACTGGTATCTGCCTAAAATCACTACCTTTTCAACCTGTGGCTCACTGCCACTGTTTTTTTTTAAAAAAGCTACTTTCTCTGTTTCATCTATACGTGCAGACTACTTATTGCATGATGGGGTGTAAGAAAATGGGCTTTGGGTTGAAGCAGATGTGGGTTTAAATTTGTACTTGTTAATTTGCACAAGCTTGTTTTTTGTTTCCTTGAAAGAGGAAAATACAGCACCTAGTGCGATGCATGGGGACTTTTGCTTCTCTTTTTCTCACACTACTTCTCAAGTCTTTTGCACACTGTTGGGAGAATCCCAGACCTCTGTGCCTGTGGCTTCTATGTCCACACACATAACCCCAAGAATGCTTTATCCAGGGTTAACCTCCTGCAGGTGCTGGTACTCTTGCACTGAAGTCTGGGGACCAGGCCACCCCCTTCCACCTTGTCTCTATCTGTTTATTTAATATCTCTGGATAACATAACAGTCATCTCACATTTAACACATTTAGGACTTTAATGTCACTCTCATAGTTCAGTCTCGGTTAGTGGCAGTCACACTGTCACAGGCATCCTTGACTCTGTTTTTTCCTCCCATTTCTCATCTAAATCCTTCAAATCTGACACTTCTCACCTCCTGTAGAGCTTCATTCTGGGTTCAGACTAGATGTTGCAGCAACCTCCTGACTGCTTTTCCTGCTCTTTATTTCCCTGCCATGTTGCTTAACACAGCAGCTTTTAAAGATCTGGGCCCGATCACCCTCCTTGACTCCAAACTACCCAGTAGCTCCCATTTCAGGCAGAGATTAGTAAAACTTTGTGGCACCTGCATGATCTGACCTAGCCTTTTGACCTCATTTCTGGTACTTCCACCCCCTTTGCTCTAGGCACTGAAGCTTGCTGTCCCTTTCACAGGCCAGTGGGTTCTTATCTCAGGGCCTTCCTGGTATCATTGTCTTTGCGTGGATATTCTCCAAGAGGGCAATTTCCCATTTCCTTTTAGTTTTCTGCTCACTTGTCTCCTTAATAGAGAAGATAGTTTTCCATGACCACCATGTATAAGTTACTGTCGCACCCCCTCTTCCGCATGCCTTGCTCTATTACCTGAACCTATGTATGGCTCCACCGCACTGAAAGATGTGCATGCTTATTGATCATCTCCCTCACTGAGACTGTTGTGTTTTCTGGTATACTCCTGGCCCCTAATAATTACATGAAGATCAATGAACTGGATAATTTCCAAATATATTTATTTTAGTGTGCAAGATTCTCCTATAGCTGATCCTGTTCTGTTCAAGTTTCTTGTTCATCTCTCCCCCTGTGGATTTTGCTAAATGCTTTGTCCTTCTATTTATTTATTTGTTTATTTATTTATACATACACACATACATACATATAAGAACTGGGGTGCAGACCAGAGGTGTGGGGTATGAGACGACTCACCCAGAGACAGAGTGGGGAGCAGAACAGGTGGATGTACCGAAATACACTGCTGAGGGGAACAGCAGGCGAGACAGGAGAGGTCTGCTGTGCCATGTGGGTTAGCTCCCTGGGCAGGGACGGATCTCATGCTGCAGTGACTGGCAATAGCTTAGGAACGCTGAGACTTTAACCCCTGCGCCACCAGGGAGGCCCAGCTTTGTCCGTCTTGATGGTACTGCCTTTACTCTCCTGCATCATTCAGCTCAGGTGTCTTTTAGTTTTTGTCCCACGGGTTTACCTTTATCTGAATTCCTGTACAGGGGATAGTGGGTGTCATATTAACAGTATTCTCTCTGCCGGAGACCCTTTAATTCCCAAATCTTCTTAAGACTTTGAACATTTGTTCAAGGCAACCCCTATTTCCCTGGAGGTGAAACCAACATTTGGGGGTATCTGTGGTGCCGAGTGTAGTGGTGCGGCACAGAAGAGAATGCTTGCTGTGAGGCTGCATCCGCTTAACAGCATAAAGGATAAGACCTGTGGGCACACATTAGGTGCTTAATGAACTGAAATTATCATCCCTGTTTTTTTTCCCCTCATTCTGTCTTTTTTGTTGGATAACACTGGAATGATTTACTCTGGCATTTGGTTCTTACTCATTTGATTTAGATGTTTGTCTCAAGTCTGCAGCATATATAATGAATTTTTAGTTTCTGAATGAACAGTGAATGATTTTGAAAGATGAAAGGAATATGTGCTCATGAGGAGTATTTCAAGCAGAATAGAGAGGATAAGGAAAGTTAAAGATTCCATGCTCCAGAATTAAGAGGTAAATACAGTTATGTCTTTCATGGATGTTTCTATATTACTGTTTCTTAACCTGTGCTTTTAGATATTAGAGAGCTAAATTTGTCCAAAAACCTGTTGTCATCATGGGATGAAGTGATACATATTGCTGATCAGCTCAAACACCTGGAAACTCTTAATCTCAGGTATGAATCCTTGATTGCCTAATTGTCACGTCATATAAAATTCCTGATCTCTCTTGGCTCCCTCGCAGCGTCTCTGTGGGAATGAAGTGGGACAGATGGCTTAGTTCACTTTATCTAAACTTAAGTCAAATTTAACTTACTGTTAATATTTGTTGATTATTAAAGGTTTTCAAATGGTAACATGAGGTGATTCCTTACTAGGGAATGTATTTTATTTTGGATTGGGTGGGGTGGGGTGGGGTTGGGACACGTTGGCATATTGAGCTGAAAGATCTTCATATTTCTTGTAAGATCTTCATATTTCTGGCCATGACAGATGGACCCTCTTGGGGGAGTGGATGTTTTATTGGGGAGTGGGAGTGGTAATATTAAAATATTACTAATTTTTATTAAAAAGGCATTTATTCTGAAGTATTTAATTTCTTTAGGAATGACTGTCATCATTGCAATATTGTTTAACTCAGTTCTAAAAAGCTCTTTCCACTAACCTATGTGTTTTACAAATGCCAGTTTCCTAGGCTGTCTCAAATGCTAGATTAAGTTTAATCTCAGAATGTATCTTTCTAGAGGGCCTCCCCTGGTGGCGCAGCTATAGAGCGCTGGGCTGCGAAGCTGCCTGCAGCCTCTGCAGCACCAGTTTGATCCCCGGCCACCAGCGAGGGTCGCACATGGCACGCAGACCTCTCCTGTTGCGCCTGCTGCTCCCCTCAGCAGTGTATTTCCTCAGTCTGCCTGTTCTGTTCCCCGCTCTGGCTCTGGTGAATTCTCTCACCCTCCTGCGCTTCTCACTGTACCCAGTGCTTGTATAAATAAATAAATAAATCTTTAAAAAAAAAATGTATCTTTTCAGAGTTCAGGCAGGCTCCTACTTTCATACTTGACCCAGGTTTCCATATAGTTTATGCATATTTATGTATTATTTGTTTATAAAATGTTTATAATATGATTTAAAGGACTAGGTTTGTACCTCCTCAGATGTGCTGCCATATAACACTCATCACTAGAGTGCCCGTAGTCCCTCACCCCAGGCCTTGGCTGCCTTCCCTCCTTTGTTCCCATCTCCTCCTCCTCAGGTAGCCTCATTTCTGCAGTTATATTTCTTTTTTTAAAAAAATATTTATTTATGCATACAAGAGCTGGGGTACAGGCCAGAGATGTGGGGGGTGGTGATGAGAGGATTCACCAGAGACAAAGCGGGGAGCAGAACAGGCAGACGGACCAAAATACACTGCTGAGGGGAGCAGCGGGCGAGACAGGTCTGCTTTGCCATGTGGGTTTCTCTCTGGCCGCCCAGGGATCAAACTCTTGCTGCAGAGGCTGCGGATTGCTTCATAGTGTGGTGCTTAACCCCTTGCGCCGCCAGGGAGGCCTGGTATGTCTATTTTTAATATTTTGAAGCACCTCCATGCTGTTTCCATTGTGAGTGGACTAGTGCACATTCCCACCAACAGTGTATGAAGGTTCTTTTTTCTCTACATCGGCACCAACATTTGTTGTTTTTTAGGATTCTTGTTATGAGCCATTCTTACTGGAATGAGGTGGTATCTCACTGTGGTTTTGATTTGATTTCATTGATAAGTGATGTTGAACATTTTTTCATGTGCTCTTTGTCCATCTGTGTCTACTTTGGAGAAGTGTCAGTTTAGTTCTGTCCATTTTTTTAAATTGAATTCTATGAGTTCTTTGTGGATCTTGGATATTAGCCCCATGTTGTGCATATAGTGTGCATATATTTTCTCCCATTCTGTACGGTTTTTTTTTTTTTTGGCTTGTTTTTAATATGGTGATTGGAACTACCAACTTATTTTAAGACAGTTCTGGTGTGCCATATGTGAATTAGCTTCCTGGCTGGGGATCAAACTCAGGCCATAGCGCTGATAGCCCTAAAACTTAACCTCTGTAGGTTGTGTTTAAATGAGTTTCTTTTGCTGTGCAGAAGCCTTTCAGTTTAATAAAGTCCCATTTATCTATATTGCTTTTGTTTTCTGCCATTTGAGTTCGGTCCCCAATGACTCATTTTTGCTTATATTTTCTTCTGTAGATTTTATGGTATCTAGTCTTACATTCAAGTCTTTAATCCACTTTGAGTTAATTTTTGTGTGTGCTGTGAGAGAGTGATCTAATTTCACTTTCTACACGTGGCTGTCCAGTTTTCCCAGCATCATTTGTTGAAGAGGATTTCCTTTCTCCAACGTATATTCTTTGTTCCTTTATCATAGATTAACTATCTAAATAAGTGTGGATTTATTTCTGGCCTCTCAATTCTCTTCCATTGGTCTGTGTGTATTATTTTTATTCCAATGCCATACTGTTTTGATTACTATAACCTTGTAGGATGGCTTGAAATCTGGGAAATGATTCTCTATTCCTCTTTTTTTTGTCAAAATTGCTTTGGCTATTCAGGGTCTTTTGTGGTTCCACATAAGTTGCAGTAATACTTGCTTTATTTCTTTGAAGAATTCCATTAAACTTTGATAGGGATTGCATTGAATCTCTATATTACTTAAGATAGACATTTTAATAATGTTAATTCTTCTCATCCATGAACATGGAATATCTATTTCCTTGTGTTGTCTTCTATTTCTTTTGATAATGTCTTATTTATGGTATCGTCTTTAATAAAAATGATTTATTTCAAGTGAGTATTTCTGAGATTAGGTTCTTGATAGAGAATTGAAAGGGCAGTAACTTATTTTGTGCATCCTAATAGCAAAAGGACTCTGTTTGGAGAAGGAAAATTCTAACCCATGACTATCATTTCAGACTTTTAGAGCAGGACTTAATTTGGCTGCTTTCAAAGTTTGCTTCTGATGAAGCTGGAAGGTTACTTTACAAATGCCTAAGCCATGTTTCACCCAGCTGCATAACCCTGTGAAAACATGTTTGCTTGTCAGATATCAAGAAATGTATGTTGTGTATTAAAAATTAGATAGCCTTGGGCCTCCCCAGTGGCGCAGCGGTTGAGCGCTGAGTTGAGAAGCTGCCCGCGGCCTCTGCAGCGCCGGTTCGATCCCCGGCTGCTCCCTGGCCACCGGAGGAGGGTCCCACATGGCGCACAGACCTCTCCTGCCGCCCGCTGCTCCCCTCAGCAGTGTACTTTGGTCCTTCTGCCTGCTCTGCTCCCCGCTCTGGCTCTGGTGAATTCTCTCACCCTCCCGCGCTTCTGACTGTACCCAGTGCTTGTATAAACAAAAAACAAACAAATAAAAATCATAAATAAATAAAAATACATGCCTCTTAAAAAAAAATTAAAAAAAAAATTAGATAGCCTTGACTCTGTTTGTGTGGGGTTAGTCTACCCAAAAGGGTCAGATAGGCTTTTCTCAGTGTGTGTAGAGTAGGCTTCTTGTCACCTTGACAAGTAGGCTTCTTGGAACTGGAGGCCAATGGAGGCCATCTGAGCCCGAGGAGGTTTTGAGTTGAGAGCAGTGTCCACCCTGAAGGCTAAGGAACTTTTCTCCTTGCTAGAGTCCTTCCCTAACTGAAGAAATTACACCCTAGCCTCTGTTCTTTTCTTAATTAAAGAAGAAATTACCACTCCCTTTTTATGACCTAGAATATATATTGGGGTGGGGGGGAAGTATTATCCAAATATAGCTTTATCAGTAGGTCTTCTAGGAATCTTATCTTTATTCTCAGTAAGGATGAGGCAATCCCCTTCTTGTCTGTCATGTGAAGATTCCTCCAATCCCCCTTTGATTCCTCAGATCTCTAAACACAGAATAAATATCCCCCATCCATTCCATATTCTTAGAATTTACCACCATGTAATTTTCTCCATACGTTATTAGATTTTTCCATTGCTAACCAGTTTTGCTGTTTTGATTGCTCCCCCAGAAAACCCCAGAGGGTGGGGGAATTTCCCCTGCCACCCCCAAAACACATTTTTATATAATTTCAATTTAAGATTGAAACAAGTCAAACTTCTCATACTAAATTCCAAATTGTTGTTTTCAATGACTTCTGGTCGGTCTAGTCTATGGCAGCAAGCTCATTGTATCTTCTTTTTCTACACAGTGAAAATAAATTGCAATTTCCCTCTGGTTCACCACCTCTAACTGGAACATTTCTTACACTGAAGGTTTTAGTCCTTAACCGAACAGGAATAACATGGGCTGAGGTAATCATATTTCTTTGGTTTATTACCCAGTAATAAGCAATTTTAAATTCTTTAATAGGGAGTTTAAGCACAACTGTGGCTTCATTTTAATTATTCTGTTATCCAACTAATAGGATCCTTTAAACTGCCTTACAGAAAGTAGTTACAAAATTACTGTATTTAAGTAGAATCCATATTCTGTCTCTCCACTCATTCTGATTTGTTCTGGTGTCTTCTTCCTAGTGGCACTCCACAGTGGTATGTAGTTAATATGTGCTGTGCTTTTAAGATAAGCCGGAGAGTTAGCTGTTGGTTGAGCTTTTACCTACCAACTTTCCCACACGTATCTGTAGGGCAGAGGTCAAGCAGCAGAAAGACCTTCACATCTTTTTCTTGTTTGAAGTTCAGTTCTTAGAATCCACTATTCATTGTATACAGCTGGGTTCAAAAGTAGACTCCTTGATCCGGCAGCATTTGGAATTTATATCTTGTGCTACTGTTTTCTGTCAGTTTACTGACTTCCCACACACAGACTATTCCACTTTCAAACCACATGCAGGTAAGTACATCCCCAGCAAAGTTGTTCGTGCGGTGTTACCAAGGCACTGCCCCTAGAGGATCACTCTTGTGCCCTAGTGGGCACAGCAATATACTTGCTTTCCTCCAGCTCCTTCCTTGTGAGTTACATCTCTTTAGATCTAACATCAGAATAAGGAGGGCAGGTAGAAATTCAAGAGGTAGAGATGGTAAATTCAGGTGAGAAAATGTAGACATGAGAAATTTTGCCTGATTAGTATATGGGAATTGAGGACAGGTGTTTAACATTGATTTCCTCCCCTTGGGTAAACTGTATCAAATCATAAGAATTTGCTACATCAACATCTCCAGTTCCACTTTGTAACAGTACAGGATATATTTAATTTGATGCATTGAAACCTTCCTTGGTTGGTTCAAAGTACCAAAAATGTATGCTCCTATATCATTCAAACATGGCTCTTTCATTCTTTATCACCCATCCACCAGCACTCCTAGAGCCTGAAATATAGCCCATAGTGGAATGTCTATGAGACACTTTATCTCTAAAACAATAACCAAACTGAGTTCATGTGGAGGTTATAGTAATAAGCACACAAGAAGCAACCACCAACAAAGCTGCTTTTCCCTGAACTGAGTTTTCCTCCTAGGTGCTCCAGTGCGCTGCAGGGTGGCCAGTCCTTGAGGAACTGTACCTTGAGGCTAACAGTATTTGCATTTCAGAAAGGTAACAAGGATGTAACCCAAACAATTAAGATTAAAAATTAGAAGAAAAAGACTGACAATAGCAAAAAATGTTCTTTCGCTTCCTGTGATATTTCCCAGTGTTTTTCAGTTCCTCTCTTCTCTCCTGCCCCTCAAAATGAAAGGTAACAGGGTTTACTTAAATGCATTTGTCACCATTTAGTTGTTCTGAATAGTTTCCTTTATATGTAATATTTTTAGAAAAATTTGCAAATAAGAATTAGAAAAGTATGCATTCCTTGCCCTCACATGTTAGAATGGAACCAAAACTTTACTAATTGGTTCTAAGTGAGGAAAAATCCATCAGCGCAAAAACCCTGTGTTAAATATTTTTTGAAGACATGGATTTTATTAGTTTTACATAAACATGTATTTAACTTGTTTCTAAGTGAAAGTTCTGTAGAATGTTACAAGAATTAAATAATGCATTTTTAATTAGCATTGGTTGATGTTCCAAAGTGAAAATATAAAAAAGCTTGTTATTCTTTAGTAAATTAAAAATGTTGTCTCACCTTCCTTTATTATCATCACTAAGTTACCATATAAAATAAACTTAAGCATGGACAAACTCCAACAAATTCCAAAAGGATTCAAGTTAATGGTATTTGACTATACAGTGATTTCACTTACTATAGAGGCAAATGCAGGTTTTTTAAACTTTTTATTTTGAGATAATTATAGACTCACATGCAGTTATAAGAAATAATACCCAGAGATCACCTGTACCCATTACCCAGTTTCCCCCACTGGTAAGCAAAGCTATGGCCTAACATCACAGCCAGTGTTGACATTGGCCCATTTGGGATACAGAACATTTTACATCACCATAGGGACCTCTGGCTGCTCCTTGCATAGTTATATCCACTTACCTGCCACCCCCAGCCTCCAGTTTAACACCAAGTACAGGTATTTTAAGTTTTATCTTTGAAAGCAGATTAAATTCAGTTGCATCTTTGAAAAGAGATTAAAATTTTTTATTTTCCATACAGGCCAACTGATGTTCTACAGACGCTCAAGTTATTAGACCTTTCTGCTAATCAGTTTATTGATGAAAATCAACTGTTTCTAATAGCCTATCTGCCCAGGTAATTTGCTTAACTGGCTTATGGTAGTGCCTAGTAAATTTTCAGTGAATGGATCATTTGTGATATGTATGTACTTTCTCAATGGAAATGATGATGATGGAATTTTCTAGTTGAGTCATTCCCTTTCGAACACTTTTATTTGAATTTATTTAGAGAATTTACTTGTGACCATATGCAGTATAGTTGATCAATACCTATACTAGAAAATTGAAGCACAATTAATTTTTGGCTCTGGTGCTAATTTGCAAGTTCTTGTTTATTAAACTTTGGGATGCAATGCCATGTCACTTTGCCTTTTTTTTTTTTTTTTAAAGATTTATTTATATAAGAACCGGGGTACAGGCCAGATGTGCGGGGGGGGGGGGGTGGTGGTGAGAGGATTCACCAGAGACAGAGTGGGGAACAGAACAGGCAGACTGACGAAATACACTACTGAGGGGAGCAGCGGGTGAGTCAGGAGAGGTCTGCTGCTGGTGGGGATCGAACTGGCGCTGCAGAGGCTGCAGACAGCTTCACAGCGCTGCTCTCAACTGCCTGCGCCACCAAGGAGGCCCCACTTTGCTTTTTGAGATCCACTTAGCACCTAGCACAGCAGTAGGCACCCAGGAACATTAGATAGTTGTAGAATCGTTAGAATGCAGTGTGAAGAGCTCATTTTGCATGCCCTAAATTGAACTTCATGGTTTTGAAGCATTTCACATGGAATGAATCCCTAGGGTGTAGAGAAAACTGCATGACTCTCTAGTCTGGTTGGTAGCCTATAGCACTTGGTGCTTTTCTGTGGACTCAAATTCAGCATTTTAAATTTCAGATTAGAACAACTAATCATTTCTGACACTGGAATTTCTTCTATACATTTTCCGGATGCTGGAATCGGTATATATGATTATTAAATTTCCCCCGGCCACTCCTAATTTGCTGATTTTTTTCACTTCTACAATGTAACTTAATTCTCTTTTCTTCTAGGGTGCAAAACATCAATGTTTCCCTCCTTGCAATACCTGGTAGTAAATGACAATCAGATATCACAAGTAAGAGCTTCTTATGGGCCTACTTCGTTATAGTTTGTTTCCACTCTCATGGAGTTTATAGGTTCCTTCTGTTAAAAAGTGTTTTAAATTGAAAGAGAAATGCTTCTTCAGAGTAAAACTCCATATATAAAACTCAAAATATTAAAAAAAAATTCATTTAACTTGCACTCAAGCAAACTGTCTTGTCATTTTACTTGTTAGAGAATAAGAGTTCATATGTGGTTTTCCTAGCATGTGCTCGTGCCTGATGAAATTCCCAGCGTCAGGTTGGAACTAGGGACTTGGGTATCCTGCTGCTAGCTAAATAATCTTGAAAAAGTAGCCTGAAACGTATTTATTTTCATTTATTGGGTTTCAGTGGTCATTTATCAATGAACTAGATAAGTTACAGAGTCTGCATACCTTGTCCTGCAAGAGAAACCCCCTGACTGAAGACAGCAAAGAAGCAGAGACCACGCGACAGTTCATTATTGCCAAAATCGGTCAGCTGAAGACTCTGAACAAATGTGAGGTGAGTGCTAATATTGTGACTGTTTTTCGGACTAGAAAGCAAATTATTAAAAAAGTGAAAAAAATTATTTGAATATGATAAAAGGTATCAGATAGTATTTTCCTCCAAATGGTGAAATATCTTCCTGGTGCATTCCAGCGACAGTGGTTCTCTCCCGAGTCTCAGGAGGTAGTCCTGCCCTCAGGGCGGTGCAGGAGAACCGTGTCCTTCAGCTGCCCTCTTGCCCAACTTATTACTATAGGTAGGGCGAGGAACACTGGGTGCTTTTCCCTCTTTCGTGGGGAGAACACAGGCAGGAAAGGACAAAATCACAAAGAGTATGCAGCCTGGCCTTCCCAGGCGTCTCTCTCTCTAAGGCAGTGCCTCGTCAGCATGCATGTGCTGCTCCCTTGGAGTCAGTCAGCTCCTCCGGGACGGGCCTACAGGCTGACCTCACATGGCGGCCAGTATCTTGTCCCTTTCAATTGGATTATTCTCTGTGGGTAGACAGTGGAGGAGCAAAGTGTGCAAAACACAAACACTTGTTATGAAAATGCCTGAATAACTTGTTTTTATTTTGAATCAACATAGATTCTGCCAGAGGAAAGGCGTGGAGCTGAGCTTGATTACCGAAAAATTTTTGGAAATGAATGGAAAAAGGCTGGTGGGCATCAGAATCCAGACAAAAACAAACCAAATGAAGAATTTCTTGCAGCCCATCCTAGATACCAGCTACTCTGCCTCAGTATGTACTTGTACTTGTGATACTGTACTTGTGAGTTGGCGGCCTTTCAGCTGCACTAGTTTTCCCTTGGGGCTTAAAGGAGGCCCTGATTTTTTTGCTTTTGCCCTTCCTTTGGGGCATTATGTACTCATATAAATAGATAGAGGTACTTTCTGGGGCTTCTGGAATAAGTTGGAAGTGGAAGATAATCAGTAGTGAATCTCAGCAGGAGGGCACATGAGAGGTGTGTGTAGGGAGCTCTGTTGCAGGAGGGGACAGCAGCTCTAAGACAGAAGTTCTTGTCTGCTTTACATGGCTCCACCAGACTTGATTTCAGGAGGTAGGTCTGTTTCCTACTTTCAGAAAGGTTCAGTTGATCTCAGCACTGCTTACCATGTCGGGAATTTTGAAAATAGCATTTTTAGGTACAGCCCACACAGTGGTATTTTTTAAAGCACCCCAAGTAATTCTGACATCCATGAAAGTTCAGATGAATGCAGTCTCTCCAAAGCACATCTGCGGCTCACCACATACCGCACACCTACGAGTTTCGGCACTTGGTATGCAAGTTGCTTCCTTATATTCTCCAGCCTGGTTCCTCGGACTTTGAAGCTGTGACTTCATGACTCTTTGTCCCTGATGTACTTTCCATTTTATTTTAACTTCATTATTATTCAAATTTTCACTTTCATGTGTTTTCTTTTTTCATATATTTCCTAATGCAAGCAGCTCACTGCATAAACGCTTCAGGCTGGAACATTATCTTTGAGGAAGAAAAGCTGCCTGTGGGAACTGCTTTCAAATTACTGCATTAGCTGGCCCAATTTCCTGGCCACTTTGGGTGAATTCTAAATCACTTGGGGGATGGGAAGGGAAGATTCTAAAGCAGCCCTGAAGGTAATGCTCAGTCCTTCCCTGGAATAATGCTGGAAGGCAGAAGCATAGGTGCTTGGGGGTATTTATAGAAATTTTGTCACTGGTTGGCCTAACAGAAGTCAGAGTGGGAGGAGTACTGTTTTCCTTACATCCTTATATTAAGGCTGCTTTTCTGGCAGGACCTGATTTGCAGTGCTGGTACCGAGTGCCCAGTCTAGCACTGCATCATCTGGCTGCAGCCTGGTGAAGGTGTCCTGTGAATCGTGTCTCAGATAGTACCAGGTTGCTCTCAGGACCCAGAAAGAAAGGGAGCTGTTACCAAAGGGAGAACTTTGAGTAAATGTTTCAAGTATTTAATACACAGCCTCATCTTGCTAGTTTTGGTCAGTACACTGGCTGGCTGTGATAATTAGTGATGCATGATACACTGTGATGGAGGGGCCCATGTTTGGAAGCCTTTGTTATTCATCCCACCTGAAAATAAATAGGTAAATGACTATAAGTCAGCATTATCGGGTGCTGCTAGATTTATGTTGAAAAGGTATATGGTGACACACATTTTCTTTTTGCCTTTGGTTCATCCCCCTTTTTTCCCTTCTTAAACAGAGTATGGTGCACCTGAAGATGGGGAACTCAAAATACAACAACCATTGTTGCTCAGAAACCAGCTACTAAGTAAGAACTGCAAATTTGAAGACTATTTATTTGTATTTGAGCTTTAGGTACTGCAACGAACAGTGATCACCTAATAGGGATTGGTTCTTTTATCCTCAAAGAGAACTTCAATTTTTTTTTAAAAAAAGGATGAAACCGTTTCAAACTTACCTGAATTCTTACATTGAACAGTCCACTAATTCCTATGTTTTAAGCTCATTTAATAGTACTATAAATGTGGGCTGTATTTTAGTTAACTGAATTATGGTTTGAAAATTTGGCTTTTATTACATTAGAAAACCTAGCTAAATTGTCAGGAAAGAGCTATTAAGGGGAAAAGAGAAGGTGATGGAGTGTTGGTCCAACCACTTTTGTTGTTGGTAATCCAGTTACTTATTAATAGAAGGAATTTTATTTAAGCCAGTTGCACTGAACAGCTGTATCATTTGGCAGTCCCTCTTAACTTGCATGCATAATTTAAATCCTTATTTACAGTAGGTCTCAATTAGTCTTTTTTCTTTTCGCCTTTAAGCACTGAACATAAAATATCCTAATCAACTTGATCAAAAAGTCATAGAGAAAAAACTGCCAGGTAAGAAGAATGAGTCTATCTTTTCCCTTCTTATACTTCCAACTTGCTGGCCTAGGTATGAATTTGCTGGTATTAGCATAGTTCATTCATATCTGAAAGTGGACTTTTAAAGCTTAGAGTTTTTTGTAGTCTTCTATATTCTAAAATACAATCAGTCACCCTGCATACCTCAAAAGTTCAAGTCTCCAATAACATCTGCTAGAAAGCACTTTTGTCAAAATTGGAGGCCCTTGAGCATGATTACCTTTTTAACCAAAGCCTCAGGGCTTGAATGGCTTGGCCTTCAGAGGATTTTCCCATGGTTCTTTTGTTTTCAAGTTATTTTTCTGGGGATTTTTCTTCCAGAGAAACTTTTTCCCTGGGCTTCAGGTCTGTCTTACCGTCCCTTCATACAAACAGCAGGTGTATCCTAGTGCACTCCACTGTGAATTATTTGGACACTTGTAACTTTTAGTACACTCACACACCTTACCAGTCAGGTAAACAATTTGCAATGACGTTTTTTTTTTTTTTTTTTGTGGACACACTGAAATGAATTTCTTTGAAGAAACTACTTCAGAACTTTACATATCTGTGCTACTAGAAATGAATTCATCCTTTTGGAAAATACTCTGGTGTCTACAAATTAGATCAATGTAATTCACCTTACCCTTTCTCTTAAAAGAAAAAATTAGTTTATTTCTGAGTATGCAGTGAATTTCTAAATCTGATTCATACTAAGTATTAAAATATAATAGACCAGTGAAGATTTGGAGAAATATCACCCTAAATGAACATAGTAAAACTTTTGTCAGTGAGTTCACATTGATTGTTAAGTTAGTTTTTATCAAATAAGCTTTTCTCATAGTATTACTTATGAAAGGCTTTGGTTGTAATTAAAGAACCTTTCTGATTGATAATGATCATTTAATGCCAATTACCATTATTACTCCGTATTTACTTGCTAACAATCTAATTTCTATCCCTGTGATATGTAATTTTGCTGGTATTACATAATGATGAATTAAAATTCATGTTAGGCCCTTCAAACTTAAATGCTGTCAGTACAGACACTCATGGGGACAGACAAGTGAGGTAGGACCAGAACACTTTTGTTAAGTAACTAGCTTTGAGTGTCTTTGCATTTTCCCTTTTACTCTCCAGATACATGGAATCAATTCATGGGAATGTTACCATAAGGGAGTATTTGCTCAAGAATGTTCTCATTAAACCTTTGTTAAGCCTTTCTTTTCATGGTTTCCACTGGGAAGGACTGTGGTTGGGTCTGTGCATGAATGCTGTCTTAGCTGATGGTGATGGCTTTGTGTTCGACCCTTCTGAGATTTAATACCCATTGGAACACCATGTTCATACTGTGATTTTCATTACTCTTCAGGTGAAACGAGCTGAGATTAGAATCCATAGAAAACCTAAGTAATAATTATTGCTTTAAACTATTTAGAATCTGAGACCTATATTGTCTAAACTCAGCAGTTAGCAGATTATTCTACATCACATACTATAAATATTTAACTAGTAACAAATATCCTTTAAAAAGTGGTCTACTATGTAAAACATACTACATCAACTTTTTAACAATCAGATTACCAAAAATTAAATATTCAATGCTGCCATGAACAGTCAGTATACCTGTTTTGTGAAGTCATATGGTAACTGGTATAAAACATTGAAAGGTAACATTTGTGCTATGACCAGGCACTCTACATGATAGCAATTATAGTGGTAAAAATAATCTAAATGTTTACTGGTGAGGGAATAGTTGTATGGATAATAGTAGAACCGTACATCCCAATATTACATATTTAATGAAGTAGGTCTTGAACTGTTGTCCAATATATCTGCCACTAGCTGCAGGTGGGAATTTAATTCCATTAAACTGAAATAAAATAAATGCAGCTCTTCCTACTAACTACATTTCAGCTGCTCAGCAGCCACCTGTAGCTGTTGTATTGGACAATACAGGTCAAGAGGAACCAGCATGAACAGATGTACCACTCTATGTAAACAGAAAAAAGCACGCAAGTGTACCCATTAACTGACAGTCATAGGGAGACAAAAAAGTGAACTAATCTCTGCGTTTTCTAAATGTCAAAATACCCATGTGTCTTTTCTGTCCATTAAGTGTATTCAACCCACAAATAAGGAAAGCATTTTTATTCTAAAATAAAGATAACATTTATTATCACAAGTTGCATAAAAACAGATGCTTTTATAAAAATGATTTTTGATAGAAAAATATTTGTCTGAATACATGTGATATTTGTAGGAACACCATACTATTGCTGTACCTCCAGCTAAAGCTTCAAGAAACTATTATAATCAAAATATCCAATATTTATCACAACCCATCTTTGGAAAGAAGTTCATAGTGTTTTCTGAACAAACCAAAGCATTTACTCATTAATTACATCCCCAATGCCTGGTGGTCACCTGTGTGTGCCGAACACAATCACACATTGTAATTACAGACTGGTAGCACTGGAGGGGGCCTTGTAGGTCATCAGTCTCCCCCTTACTTTCCAGAGGAGGAAAGGAAGGCCAGAGAGATTAAGTGACATCCTCAGGGCGCCTGTGCCCCACTCCAGTGTTCTTTCAGTAACTCATAAGTAAGTAATCACAAAGGTTTAAAGTCAGTGGTTCAGAGATTTATTCCTCTGCTGAGAATGTTTTCTGGTTTATTCAGATTAAGGGGGAAATATTAAATACCACTGAAATGGTATGAAGAATCAAGGGCACTTAGGTCAAACATGGAGTCCTCTCTCACAGCTTCCCAATGACTCAGATAAATGGTGTGAAAGCATGAGTGTGGGATCACGTAGTGGATAAAAATAAGCTTTGCCCTAGTCATTTACGTGGGTCAACTGAAAGGACAGTGACAGCTGTCATCACAATTGTGGTCTTGTCAAATGAGTTAGTTTTACAGATGACTCATTTGAGAGAACTGATTTTTTTTTCCCTTTGATAGAGTTCATGACAATTCAAAAGGTGAAAGGATTGCTGTCACGTCTTCTCAAAGTTCCTGTGTCAGAACTCCTGCTGTCCTATGAGAGTCTCAAAGTAAGTTGCCCAGCAGAACAGGAAGTCCAGCTTAGCTCCCCACAGAATGACATGTCATCAGACTGGCTCTATAGAAAAGATTCTAAATGGAGACCATACATCTGTTAGGTGTGTATGTGGGGAGGGTATATGTGCATAATGTTGAGGAAATCCTGTCTCTTAGAAAGAATGCATTTAGTAGGTTATTTTGGGGTGCTGGGGAATGCTCAAAATTTTTTCCATGTTAATTAATGGTAAATGTTCCCCTACCCAAAATATAACGTACTAAATCATACCAAACAGAACATTCTGCTTCCCACTGTGGGGGAAACCTGTAACAAGCTTTGTCACCTCTGGCTTAATCACCGCCCATGCTCTTTGTTCTAATTTTAGATGCCGGGCAGAGAGATTGAACTAGAAAATGACCTACAGTCATTACAGTTTTATTCTGTGGAAAATGGAGACTCTCTATTAGTGCGATGGTAACAGCCAACTAATAAAATTCAGAAACTAAGACTATCATGATTTGGGTTCATCAGAAATAAATGGTTTTATAACTTGCCCTATGGATAGCAAAGATTGTAGTTTTCATTGGGAAGAGACCATTTTAGGCTTGTACATAACAGCAATAATAAATTATTTGAACCTACTGATTTTCTGATCTTCGTGTTTTTACAGTTTGTGACTCATTATGTGAAGATTTAAATATTAAATAGAACCTAGTCTAATAAAATCTGAACAGTTAATTTCTCTCCTAGAACTAGTTTTAAAGAAATTCACTATTGTTACTCCTAGTTTAAAAGGTTACTAAGATGATTTGGTCATTTGGGGAAATGTCCCTCAAACCTAGGGAGGCACATCTATGTGTAACATGTGTTATGAGCGCTCTTCTCAGTTGCACTATTTTTAAGAGTACTTATAAAAATACATGCTTTTCCCTACAGTTACACCTAAGCTGAGCAAATAATTCTTCTATAGAAGACTATCAGCTCTGATTGAAATTCACTTATATTAGGAAAATAGCAGGCAATGATTGGAAGAAAGCAAAATTCTTTCAAAGTATCAAATATTTAGAATGTCTTTCCCTGTGGCACTAAAACCCTGAGAGGTATTCAATTTTACTTAAATTTAGCATATTTTGAATAGGAGTCACATTTAAGGTTACTGTTAAATGGCAAAAGTAAACAGGCATTAATTAGTCCACTTGATAAACTTTAGAATCAATGTCCAGAACTGAGAATTATATTGGTTTTTTTTTTTTCAAGTTGCCCACATCATTCAGAGATCCATAAAATCTGACATTTCCAGAAATCCCAAACTTTGGTATACGTAATCACACAGCATTTCTGTGAGTTCTTTTTGGCCCTTAATTATCCTAATTATGCTATACAGATCTAGTCTGCAGTCCCAGTTGAAATCCAAACCCTCAGTTACTAAAGACTTCTGAACTAGGCCAACTTTTAACCAAAAGTGATAGGTACTGAATTACTAACTAGAGAAATATTTTGTCTTTTTACAAACAATTTGGTATTGTTCAAATCATGTACCAATATATAAATAAATTAGTTGATTTTTAAAAAGGAAACTTTGTGCAAACATTAGGAAATATCACACTGGTTACAGGTGAAAGTGCCAGCCCAGAACTATCCTGATAGATCATATCTATTCTATCACCAAACCTCGGGCTTTCCTCAGAATTGCACTCAGATTATCATACACCTACCCTGATCCTTAAACACTGCGAATTAAAATCATTATCTTCTTGCTTCACACTGGCATGGATCATCACACAGTTCCTTCAGTTTCCAGAGCTCTGCTAGTTCCTGTGGAGAATACTGCGGGGATGACAGCATTCCCGTCTCACAAGTCTTCTCACATAGCCACAGGCCATCCTGTTAAAAAAGCAAAAGGTGATTTTGGAGCTGTGGCACTCTAGGAGACCTGGAAAACATGCATATAGGCAGCTTTTATGTTCCAATGAAACTGAAGTTGTTTCATAGACAACTCCGGGGTGAAGGTGGTCTGTGGGGCAGAGAGTAGTCAATGCACCCTGGTGACCTGGTCCCGTGAAGACAAACAGCAGTGTAGGCATTAAGTATGAGTAAAGGGACTTCTATGAAAAGACAGTTTGGAGTGTTATATTTGCTAGAAGAGGACAGGCAGCCACAAAGCAGTATGGACAGCCACCATTCGATGGGATGTCAGACAGTACCCTGGGGATGAGAACAAGTGCTTTGTAAATAGATAATACTTAATTTTCACAAAAACTGAGGTAGGAATTATTTCCCCTTTACAAACAAGAAACTAAAACTAAGAGTAAAGTGTAGGGTGATGACACCTCAGTAGGAAGAATTCAATCCTTCCTACCTACACAAACTGACTTCTGTTCCCAGTAATATAGCAAAATACAGATACTGAGAACCCCCTTTAATAAGAGGACACAAAAATGCTGGATGTAATAAATGTCTTCAAAGCATGCTGAACTGGTGGCAAACGAGAAGAAACTGGAGGGTTGAAGGTGCTAGAATAAGTGTGTGCCTTGAAGGTTCTGTTGGTTTTTTTTTTTTAAACCAAAGATCACCCTTTATTACAATATTAGCTTATGGTCACTGCATGGGGACATTAATTTCTGGAAGAAGTTGCCAATTTACAGAACTCAGACCCTCAGCCAATCTACGTGAGATTAAAAGGCATAGACGCTGCTGCTGAGCAAAGAGTACTAGTAAACAGGAATTTTCAGAGTCCAAGTTGATAGTGGCCACTAATCCTAGACTTTTAAACCTTGCCCCCTCCTGTAGCACGGCTGACCATCCTCTGGCAAAGCAGTCTCCTCTTGGATTGTTGAGCGGCTACTGCCGCCAACTCAAAACCCTGTGCTGCTCATCGCTATTGTCCAGCACGCAGGAGACCTCACTTGCTCTGGCCAGTGATCCTTTCTGCTGAGTTTTAAAAGGCCAGGGACAGGAGCCAGGACAGGAGACTGACCAGAGACTCCCAAAAAGAGCTGAGACCCCCCAAGGAGTGAGACCTGGGGGTGGGGGGTTGTGAGGGTAATAAGTCAGGCTCATCTGACTCATCCTTGACTCAGTAAGATGGGAAGGGTCTTTCCTGGGCATCTGAACCACAGCCTGCACTTCGTGGGTTTGCAGCTAAAGTCACATCCTGAGCAGCCCCTAAACTCTCCAGCCAGAAATTTAAAGTACTCATAGGTGATTAATGCACTTAGGTACATGGCAGAAAAAATGTCAGTCTTCTCTGTAGGAATGTATTAAATACAGACCTCAGTTTCAGAACAAGGTCAGTTTTTTTAAGAAGTCTATAAACATATCAGGAAACAAACTCCCTGAGTAACAGTGCAGAAATAAAATACTGAATGAGAATGGCAAAGACTAGTGACACTAGAAACAGAAAATGAAAGTTATACTCAATGTTAAATTTATCCCTTTATCAGGAATAGGACTATCAAAGCTGACCAAGTAGATTGGATTTATTTCTGTTCACCCTTGGAGTGAAGGAACACTGCTCGGTACCCCAGTACTCTACAGGGTTCCTACTAAGCAGCCACTGCACGTTCCTTCTGTCCCCTGCACCTTCTATGGCCAAAGTAGAAGCTGCAAGAATCCAGAATTCAACAGAAACCTCTGAGGCAAAGGCCAGCTTTCTGTTTATTTTCCTCCCAAGGCTCCTATTTTCCATTTCTGATCTCTGCAGTTTCTTTTCCTGCATCAGCAGTACATCAGCTCACAGTATATTTTTAAAAATGTTTTACAAATAAAACACCAGATAAAATACTGTTATCAGTCAGAGGGCTAACGAGCCCTTTGACTACCACACTGCTAGAAACTTAAGCCAGCTGATTCTTAAGTCTTAAGGATATAAAGAATTTCTGATCAGCTGATCAGATATTACAGATTTCTTTGTGGATAGGAGAACTCCCATTCAAAAATATTTCCTTTTTCCAAAACAAAGAAACCCATTTCCTTTTGGCTTAAACTCAAAAAAAAAAAAAAAAAAAAAAATTGTATGAGAATCTAGCTGGATTATATGTAAATCATGTGAGTTATATCAGCTATGAAGCTACGTCTTCAATTTATTGTTTTTGCCCAAGATTTGATGGACAAAAATGCTTCCACAACTCTTTAGGACCCTGTGGCCAGCCCCTCAGGGCCTTGCTTACCTGATATCTTTTAGGTCCTATGGCTGCCATCCAAATGCCCATGCTGACATCTTCACCCTACAAATTTAAATTTAAATGCAAAATTTTAAATGCTATCTCATTTTAAAACATTCCCATAATGACCTATTTTGTTACTGTTCTAATGCAATATGACATACACTGATACGTAAAGTAAAAGCTCAAGTGGCCTTAAGGAATGCACACACACCACAATGAGATGAGAAGATGACACCTACTACAACGAGCAGCCAGCCCTCTCTTCTAGTGGACCTTCCCCGTCCTACATGAAGAGTATAAAAGATACAGTAGGTCTTATTCCCAGGCAGAGTTGTTTATTGACAATGTCATTGAGATTGGCAAAAAGCATTTACTTATGAAAGCTTAACATTCCTCAAATATAAACTGAAAACACATTAAGTAGGCTCAAAAAAATATATTAGGAATAGAATTCAGAGCCAAGTTTGAGTGATAGGAATGTTTCCCTAATCTTTGCAGAGTCCTATAAAGAAACAGTAACATGCTTTTCCCCAAGGTAAATTGACTTTGCTTTCAATGATAGAATGCTGGGCTGGGCCTCCCTGGTGGCGCAAGGGGTTAAGCACTGCACTATGAGGTAATCCGCAGCTTCTGCAGCATGAGTTTGATCCCCGGCTGGCCAGAGAGAAACCCACATGGCGAAGCAGACCTCTCCTGTCTTGTCCGCTGCTCCCCTCAGCAGTGTATTTCAGTCAGTCTGCCTGTTCTGTTCCCCACTCTGTCTCTGGTGAATCCTCTCAACACCCCCGCCCCACCCGCCACCCGCAATCTCTGGCCTATACTCCAGCTCTTGAGTGCACAGATAAATAAATCTTAAAAAAAAAAAAAGCTGGGCTACACGAAACTTGATTTGATGAACGTACTCTTAGGTCAAAAATCCCTAATTAGGGCCTCCCCAGCGCAGCGGATGAGCGCTGGGTTGTGAAGCTGCCCGCAGCCTCGGCAGTGCTGGTTCGATCCCCAGCTTCTCCCTGGCCACCAGAGGAAGGTCCCACATGGCGCGCAGACCTCTCCTGCCGCCCGCTGCTCCCCTCAGCAGTGTACTTCGTCAGTCTGCCTGTTCTGCTCCCCGCTCTGGTGAATTCTCACCAGAGAATTCTGACTGTATCCAGTACTTCTGACTGTATCCAGTGCTTATATAAATAAATAAATAAATAAATCTTTAAAAAAAATCCCTAATTACCTGATAGGTTTTTAATCTCCCCGAGTTGCTGGCCAGCCAGTGGACGATGTCCCTGGAGATCACATACCCTGACCCACACGCAAAGGCAGGGTAAGCAGGACTAGGGTACTCCAGCTCCTGCCACTTTCCAGTTCGATCAACTGCCCAATTCAATCTGAAACTAAGATTCAAAATAATTTGGCTTCTTTGTGTTGGTCTGACACATATCTTACCACTGCTAAGCTTGACTCCTTTATCATAACCACAAAGGAATAAGCCATAGAAGAATAGGAATATGGTTTTTAGTCTAAAGAAAGAAATTATTTAGCTAGTGGGTATTTTACATAAAAAAAAAGACTGGAATATAAAATTCTCTCAAAGTTGCATTTATGGGGTTTCTGAGTGGAAAGCACCAATCATGTTGTATTTATCTACTTAAAAAAAATTCACAAATCCATATTGTATTCCTGGAAAAAACACAGAAAATGGTTTCAGAAATGTGTCAAATTTATTCTAACATAATACGTACAGTAGCTTCTAATTTGAGTATCACATATCTAGGGCATGAGAATAAAAGCCACATCATTTTCCTTCATTATATTAGCCTGAGGCTTTTCATTTCAAATTTTTCCCTCTAATTGTAGATTAATAAAATATAGTAACCCAGGAGCCTACTAGGGAAATTTCCTATCTCAATCATTTTTCCAATGAAACATGACTTGTATAGATATCATTCTAAATTACATTTGATAATGTACATGATCGCCAATGGTCTCATAACGTTCAACTTACTTTCCCCACCAAAAATTAGGCCCTTCCAGATTCTTATGGGAAATTCTATTAAAAACAGCTTCTAAGTCAATGTAACAGTCATCATCTGTCTTTAGCAATAAATCAAAGCTGGTTGTTTCCACAGTCCTGTTGACAGAAAAGGGATATGAAAGTCAGCATGTCCATAACAAGGAAACAAAGCAATATTAATGCGATGATATTGCTAACATTTTAATTAGAAAAGTGTCCCTATATTACCTGTATACTTTTTTCCCAGCTTATTTCCTCCAACATTGAGAACATTTTCTCTAACAGAACACTGCTGCTACCAACTACAGTCCTGATAATCACTGAGTGGTATAGGAAATACTGAGCTGATTTTAAAAGGTGTAAAGGAGAAAGAACACAGTAAAGAAAAAAAAGACCTGGCTTTAGTGGGACATGTGGCTGAACTAATACTTAGGCACTGCGCCAGTCAGGCTGCCACAGCAAACATTTGAGCACTGCCCCTGTGCTCTCAATAAAGAGTTGCAAGATGAGGGTACTGGTCTCCTATCTGATCTCACATAGTTGCACAAGATGCATTCATACTACTATTTATATCACATTCAGATATTTTATGGTTCAAAAAAGAAAACCTGGCTCGTAACATTAAATTTCCCCTTTGGGATAATTTCTGGTCATTAAATTATTATAAATGGCCTTTTAGAAGGTGTGTGGGGGGGTGATTTCATTCACCTAGATATAAAATACAAATATATAACACCAACTAGAGACAAAATTGATTCTTTCATTTTGCAATAACAATTCTTATACATCTTTAAGAGAAAAACAAAACAAGAATGTTGCTAGGGAACCAGCTAGCAGAAATCTGAATAAAAGAATTCTGGACAAAGTTTCGCTGAGTCAAAGAATGGTTAACAACATTGGGCCCACACCAAATAGCATTAACTCTACTCTTAATAAGATGTATTTCTAATTAACAGCATGAGGCCTATAAAATATTTATTTGCTAATTAGAAATAAACTTGTGATAGGGGACATTGAGGCCACTGACAAATCAACTGAATATAGCAGAATGGATAATGAAGCTTTAATTTATGGTGTGAAGAGGGAAGGTAGACTGGGGCAGCAGGCCCCAAATACAGCCCTGTTAGAAGTTATTGCCGGAATCCAGGTAGAGATGATGGCCCAAAATAGTGAGACACGCGAAGATGTCAGAGATGTGCAAAGAATAGAGGAGATAAAACTGAAGGTAAAATCTAAACTACACTGAACTTTCACAACCAGGAATCTGCTCCCTATGGAAAATACTAGAACTCCAGTCTTGATTTCCCATTTTCTGTACCTACATTCCCACCCCTTACCTCTACAGCCTCGTCTTGGTCCCACTTAAAAGAACCCCCATTAGTGGTCTTGAGCTAAAAGACTTTTTTCTTATTACAGATGTCCAAACCTAATCCCACATTTCCAACAATTATTCATATCTGCCCACAGGACAACTCCAAATTTATATTAACTTGCTCCGCTATGAAACAGTATCTCCCATAAACTGATTAGACTGTCTGCCCCTCAAGACCAGGTAACCATATCCACAAAGAACCTGCTAAATTCCCACTCTGCCCAGAGAACAAAAGAAAGGACATATTCTGTGGCTCACCAAGAAACAATCTCAGTGACAAAGTTTTAAAAAAATCAAAGATATGAATACTCCTTTTATAGGTTTAGTCTGGACAGAGACATAGTTAAAGGTCAGGGTTCTACAGTCAGGGTGGACAGTCAGGGGTGCTCAACAACAGCTTATGGGATCCTAGAGTAACTAGGATACTACTCACAACTACGAATATGCAACAGTAACAGTTACTATGTTTTATTACTGTTACTATTAACTAAAGGTAAGAATGACAACTAAATAGAAACCCTAGCAGATCTGCACAGATTCTAAAGGTTATTGACCTTAATATAAATGTTTTGGAAATGGAGCAAGTAGTTTTTAAATGGATGGAGTAGAGAATGGAAATATAAGGAAGATGTGCAGCTGACTAAATTGGAAACCTGGTATATGTGGGCTTATAATTGAGGGATGCAGGAAGGTGCACAGAAATACAACTAAAAAAAGGCCATTTCCAAACATCCAATTTTCATCTAATGTTGGTGGGAAACACCATGGCCAGCAGGAATGACACAGAGTGAATCAAGTTTTGCCTGGCTCTTATCATCCACCCTATGGATCTGTTACTCTAAATAAGGACGTAGCAGCATTTTAGGTGATCAGTTCTCACAAAGAACCAAGACCTAAGAGATCACATCCCAGGTGTTCAGTGGCCTTAGGTTGGTTGGTTTGTTGTTTAAATTTCAGTGGTTTGAGGTTGATAAACTGTTTCTACATTAAAAAGAACAATAAAACAAATTCTAGCTACCCAACATTTTTAAAACCTACCATCTATAGAAGTTCAATAATTTTGCAGGAACATTTCGGTAAGTGTCAACAACATCCACAAAAACAATATCATCATAGATGCTGCTTTCCTCCTTCAGTAAGGCATCTTCCTCCTGGAGATTACTTATATGATCATTAAGTCTTCGAGGGCGAGAATGAAGGTTTTGTAAGAGAGCATCACCTTCTAAAAAGGAAATGTTGACAGTTGGAGAAAAATGCTATTGCAAACTTAAGACCTAGACTTCTAACTTCATGTATACTAAAACTCTTCTCCCAAGGTAACCTAAGGAGATAAAAATGTTAGGAACAGTGAGGAAGGGAAAGGGCAACTTCCCATATACTGCTGGTGGGAGAATAAATGGACACGCCCACCCTGGAGAGCACTTCAGGATTGTCTAGTTTGGCCAAAGAGTGCTAAGTTCGCTCATAGATCTATCCCTGGAGATAGTATTTTCAAGATCATAAGGACATTCATTGCGGCACTGTGGGTGACTGTGGAGAAATGGAACCAACCTAGATGCCCACCGATAGAATGGTGAAACTGTGGTATACTCATAATGGAATAGAGCGGTTAAAAAAAAATTCACCTGATTTTGCATATTAAAAGTAGTGAGAAAAAGCAGTATTGCTAATTGATATATACATCATGGAATCACACTGTCAATGATTTAAAAAAATCAAAACTTTGATAATATTATAGTAGAAAGTCAAAAAATAATAGTGGGAAGGGTAAACATGAATTTCAGGGTAAACGCGAATCTCAGGACAGAGGCATCCTCTCCTAGGGCAAGGGAGAGGAACAGGGGGAAGAGAAGTTGTTGGGAATCAGGGAGGGAGGTTTTCACTATATATGTAATGCTTTCTTACTAAAAAACAGAAGCGAATATGACAAAATGTAAATGTGTTAATCTGAGCTATAAGTACATGGTATTTCTTATATCACCCTATTTTTGATGCATTTATCATATTTCATAGTGAAATGGTTACTTATGTGCTTAAAATACATTTTATGTACATTTGTGCAGGATCTTTTCTCAGATCCTATGAATTTAAGGCAGCAATTATTTTATCAGGGCAGGGTTTTCTTAAATGTCTCAGTCAAATGAGAGAAAATTTCTGAAAAAAGAAAGAAAAAAATGAGTGGATGAAGGGTAGGAAGGGACTGAAATAATTCGGTGCGCCATTCTTTCTAACATAAATGGAGGGACTGAGGGATGGGACTCTGCCTGTCCTCCTAAAGATGCTGGACAAGTCACAAGTCTCAAAGCCTCTGTATTCTTACCTAGTAAAGGATGAGGCAGACTAAATTGGTGGTTCTCAGGAATGCTTATTGAAGTACTGATTTCCTGGGTCCCAAATGTACAGGTTCAGCAAGTCAGGCCTAAATGACCTCTGGTCCCCTTTGACTCTTATGTTCTGCTGTAAGGTCCTTTCACTTAAAGATATGGATATGTTTTAAAATTGGAATATCCAGAAAATGGTTGGAACAAGATGAGAGAAGAAATTAAATATAGGCTAATTTATTATTTTGTTTTTATACTAGTAAGTTACATACTTTGTTTTATGCTGCACAAATCTGAAAAATATGAGAATAAAATAATATATCTGTTTTGAGTCTGCGGTATGTCTAGGTGCTATTTGAAAGAATTATGTAGATTACAGTTTCTCAAACAGAGGCATCAAATCCATCTGGGAAGCTTGTTAAAATACAAACATATGCGTTCCAACCCTAAAAATTTTAATTCTGTAGCTTGAGGTAAGGCCCAGCCAGAGATGTTAATGCCCGACAAAACTTGAAAGATTTTTTTTACCACATAATTCTTCTGAATAGTGCTTAGATCTTCAGATTCAAAAAGCAATTTATACTCAGGTTTCCAGATGTATCTACTATGAAAAAACAATCCATTTTAATTCCTTTATCTTAAAATTTGAGTTATTTCAGTCTTGTATCAAAGCAATTTTCCTTACCCAGGTGGGGTGGGGTGGAATGGGGTGTAGAGGGGAAGGTTCTTCCCTTTGACTAACTCTACTACACCTACAAGACCATGGTCGCTCAGCTTTGCAGAAGTCTGCACCTGGCTGTTAGGAACAGACCACAGCCATAGAATCTCATGGGTCCCTGCAGAACAGTGTAGTGCCAGAAGTCTCAAGGGTCCCTCAAACTAGTTTTTAAAGACTCTTGGTGGAATACACTTGAACTAGCAAAAGAAAGGAATGTGCTACACCCTGAAGTGTCTAGTCAATGGTATATTAAGCTACACCTGGTCTCCCAATGTGAGCTGCTTTAGGAAACTAGCCTGATCTCCTTATGAGTTTTCTTCAGGGCTGAACTTTTAACTAGCTTCTTTGGCAGAGTGGCTCATAGTTTTATGAAAAAATCTTTGGACTAGAATTAAAGATCACTTGATATCAAATTTCTGTTTTTAATGGCAAGTTTGTGGGTAAAACCAGTGTATCTGTTCCAGCCTGCCCTTAGGGGTGATGAAAGAATACAAATACTTCTATGAAGAAACAGTGTATAAAGATGCTAGATTTAAAAAGAAACACGCACACACCACACTTCATTTGTATGCTCAATTTACATGCATTGGCCTCAAATAGAAGAGTGTCTGCTCCACTCTCAACACTGTGCTATCAAGGAAGGTCCCTGCAGACTTGCTCCTAGAAGATAGTCCTTGCTTTCCCCCAGTCAATGAGAACCTTTAAGGAAGCTGGAACCAAATTCTTTTACAGGAATCTATAACTTGCAGACAGAGGTACTACTAGACACCCTAAGTGTAACCAATAGCAACTGCATCAACAATACTTTTTCTATATCACAGACATAGGATTCTTAGGAATTCCTAGATGTGGATACTTAAATGAGTGCCATTCAATAAGAGACATTTCTAATCATAACAAATATCCTCTGGAGTGTTAAAGACATTTTTAAGCTAGTAACTCTGACTTTAAGTTTAAAGGACTCTTTCTAACAAACTCATCCTTGAAGTGACATAGAATAGGAGAAGCACTTGAAAAACTGTACTGTGGAAAGTAAAAACCCCGTAGTCACATTATTCACATTATAAGAGAGACTACACATGAAGGAGGAGGGGAAGCTGATTCCCCTGGGCCATCCCCAACAAAAGGATGGATGGAGCAATGAAAATACACTGCATGGATTGGGGAGGTGGGGTGGAGTGAGGTGTGGTGGGGAAGGTTCTTCCCTTTGACTAACTCTACTACACCTACAAGACCATGGTGGCACAGCTTTGCAGAAGTCTGCACCTGGCTGTAGGAACAGACCATAGCCATATAGTCTCATGGGTCCAAGAAAGTCCAAGGTCATTAATTTTTTAAGATCCCTTTTCTGATGAAAGATTGAATGCTTTTCTTCTAAGGTCAGGAACAAAACAGGGATTTCTGTCCTAGCCAGTTCTAGTCAATACATACTAGATATTCTAGCCAGGATGATTTGACAAGACAAATAAAAGGCATCCAGATTGGAAAGAAGTAAAGCTATGTCTGTTTGCAGATGACATGATCATACGGAGAGAAAACTGTAGCCTACAAAACTGTAAACTAATAAATGAGTTCAGAAAGATTACAGTATAGGGCCTCCCTGGTGACACAGGGAGGTGTTAAAGTCTCAGCGCTATCAAGCTGTCGGCAGCCAGCGTGGCATGAGTTAGATCTTGACCAGGGAGCTGACCCACATAGCATAGCAGACCTCTCCTGTCTCACCTCAACAGTGTATTTCAGTAAGTCTGCTTATCTTTCAGATGAGCAACAGTGCTAAGGTCTGGACTTTCTCATTAAAAGGGATGTAGTACGGACTCAAAGTTAAGCCGTGTTGGGTGGTAATAATAAGCACTAATGAGAAAGATACCAAATTTTACTTAGATTTTTAGAACATGCTCATTAGCACCACTTATTTTATTTTATTAATGTTATTTTAAAATTTTATGGAACCCAATCACCAATTACAACTCCTTCATCAGAGCATATCACTTCCACATATTTAAAGCTGCTGAGCTGGGGCCTCCCTGATGGCACAAGGTGTTAAGCATCAGCACTGTGAAGCTGTCTGCAGCCACTGCAGCACAAGTTCGATCCCCATCCAGGGAGGTGACTCACTAGTGCGGCAGACCTCTACTGTCTCGCCCACTGCTCCCCTCAGCAATGTATTTCAGTAGATCCGCCTGTTCTGTTCCCCACTCTGTCTCTGGTGAATCCTCTCACCCCCCACACCTTTGGCCTACACCCCAGTTCTTGTATGAATAAATAAAAATAAATCTTAAAAAAAAAATCCCAGTTGGCTTTTTTTGTAGACATTGACAAGCTGGTTCTAAAATTTATATGGAAATACAAGGGATCCAGAACAGCTACAACAATCTTGAAAAGAACAATGTTGAAGGATTCACACTTCCTAATCTTACAACATAATCATGGAAAGTATAGTACTAGTATAAAGGATAGACATGCAGATCAATAGGATAGAATCAATAGCCCAGAACAATTTGGAAAATTAGGTTAGTGATTATTTGCAGAGAAGGAGAATGAAGAATGATAATAGGTACAGGGTTTCCTTTCAGGAGCAATGGAAATGGTCTGTAATTAGTGGAGTTGGTTGTGGAACTTTGAAATATACAGAAAATCACTGAATTAAACACTTTAAATGGGTAAGTTATAAGGCATGTGAATTATATAGCAATAAAATTATATAGCAATAAAAATATTTCTTAAATGACAAAAAGATCACCTTTTATGTCAAAGTTAGGTGTTTGAGATGCAGTATGCTTTCAACTTTCAACCAATTGACTCACCCTGAATAGTATAAATAAAACCACCTGCAACTCCCTCCACACCTTCCATGAATTCATGAGGTAATGCACCCTCTCCAGCCTGAAACAAGAATATAAGAGCTCAATGTTTTATTACTAAAAATACACTTCCTATATTTTAAAATCAATTTGGCAAAATTCAGAATGTGAATCTACAGATAAATTCATCTAAGCTGCTGGTGCACTAGACTACTACTACTACTAGGATGCCCTCAATACTCTCATTTTTTGTTATCTAATTTCATTATTAAAGATCAGGTAGCCACAGTAGTTCATTCAGGATTCAGAAGTCCAGCTCACACAGAATCATGAATTCTCAAACGTGCTACCATCTCAGTACAAAAACCAATTTTATTTTACATTCCAACTCTTATCACTTAAAAAAAAAAATCACTATCTTTGATTTCTTAGAGATTGAAAATTCCCAGGAACTGAACCAATTCTAGGCACATTTTAAAATTAGGCAATCCTGCAGAGAAAGTCTTCTAAACGAACAGTTTAGAAGAGCCCTACTGATTACTTATGTTGTTGAAGGTAGAGACTCCTGCGCCAGCAGCCAACAACGTCCTCTCCACCATTCTATGATTGGACAGTTTTATTATTAGAGGTCTAATCTTCACTTCAACAGTGAACAAACACCCTTACTCAGAGTCAGGTTTTCACCTTTGTGAGCTGCACATTTCCCAGAGCTGCTCTCCAGCAGCTGCAGTTTGTCAGTTCTACGCCAGCACATGGGGAACATTTCCTCTACAGGCTCAACTATAAACAGGACAACTGCATGGCTATGCCTCTTCTGAACAAGATTTTTTCAACAAGCCTGGGCTGTACCACACAGTATTTTAAGGTAGCAGTGAGATAGTGCTTTGAGGTGATTGTGGTAAATTTCTAATTTAAAATTTGCTTTGTAGCTGAATGTGAGGGATAGATTCCAACTTTGTAGTTCGAAAGGTATCATGTGTTCTCGTTTTTTTTTTTTTTTAATTGATACATTCTACATCTCTACATTGTTTTTGGCTTGTTTAAAATTTGATAGTACTTTATTATTAACTTTATCTAAAGGGTCACAGCTTGGTTTTATTTTTGCTTTAAATTTTTTTGATATCACTTGCTGGCAAGAGCAAGACTGGAAAATTTACAGCTGTATAAACAAATGATGAAAACCTTTATTTGTGCATGGGGTTTCTTAGAATAAGTAAGTTATCTCACCTTTTTTTTTTTTTTAGGTTTTTTTCTTTTTTTTAGTGTTTAAGCTATCTTTAGCTCTCAACAAAACATATTTACCCCCAAAACAAATAATTTGAGTCTTTACATTTGAACCTAGTTCCTGACTCATAAATTGATTTCTGAATTCCAACACATTTTGGATATTTTCAAGTTTCATAAACAGAAAAGGAAGCAATTATCAAAGGCACCGCCTTTGAAAATAAGAAAAAACTAATTAAATCTTATAAAACATCCTATCTTAAAATAAAGGACATTACATAATAATGACATCTTAAATATGATGTATAAGGCTAAATTTGTAATTTTATATGAATCTATGGGTCTGTTTAATGCCCTTTTTTCCTCACTGGACTGTAAGTTCCACTGTGGGCCAATAAGGGGCCTTACCACCTCTCTGCCTGGCTTACAAAAGATATGCAATAAATGTTCTCTAAATGTGTAATAATATGCCACATGATATTCATTTCAAATTCAGAAATTCATGTGAATAAGTTTAATAGTTAATAAAAATAGACTAAACTTGAACATTTAAATGCCAAGTGCTTTCCTAATTATAAGATGAGAACATTAAGAATGAAAGATTCTATCTACGGTACCACCACATACACCACTTATTTAAAATACATCATTTTAATTTGCCTATGTCTTCTTTATCATCCTGCATTTACTTTGAGAAATTTACCCATCAAACTCTTGTAAAATTGAAGCATGTTTGAGTAAATGAAAAATGAGAGGCAGATCCTTCCTAGCAATATAAAATGCAAGTGAATAATAAATCTTACTTTCTAGTACTTCTATCGTATTTTAACTGAAATCTTACTATCAATTAGATAATGGATATTCTGATTATTATTGAGCAAGTATTCTTAAAGAATTTTAAATTCTATTTAAAACACTTTTTTAAAATGACCTGCTATTAAGGCAGCACCGTGTACTTTCTCCTAACATTGATGTTACAAAATCATACAACAATCAAATTTTTCATTTTTACTGATGTCTTAACATTTTCTACTATATATGTTCTGAAACACACAAGATTCATAGCTCCCAAAGCATGAAATAGTGTAAAAATAACCTTAAAAGCATTTTTTAAAAACTGCTCAAGTATGCTAAACCACCTTTATTTTTTGTTTTTAAACATCCTTCTTAATTTTTTCACAGTATAGGATTTCTCCCCTCAGGTGGTTTTCCCACCACCAAAGTGCCCACAATCCTCTACCACACTCCACTGAGCTAACACCCCCACCCAGTGTCTCAGATCCAAGATCTGCTTTCCAGGATCAGTCTTCTAAACAACATTTAAAAGAAAGTGGACAACTTCCAACCACTATGGAGAGCTGTGTGGAGATTTCTGGACCTACTAAACATAGAGCTTCCATATGATCCAGCAATTCCACTCCTAGGTATTTACCCAAAGGACACAGAAACATCAATTCCAAAGAGCACCTGCACCCCTATGTTTATAGCAGCACTGTTTACAATAGCTAAGCTTTGGAAACAACCCAAATGCCCAAAAATAGATGACTGGATCAAGAAGATGTGGTACATATATACCATGGAATATTACTCAGCATTCAAAAAAGATAAACACATGCAATTTGCAGCAACATGGATGGCGCTGGAAGGGATCATGCTCAGCGAAATAAGCCAAAAAGAAACAGAAAAATACCGGATGGTCTCACTCATAGCAGGAATCTAGAAAACTTAAATAAGGGACCAGGAAAATGAATATAAGAAAGTGAAAATCGAAATCAACAAAAAACTATGAACCAGAGACACTTTTTGGGGGGTGGGGGGCGGGAGGGGAAGGATTGGGGTCAGAATGGGGCGTTTGCAATTGTATGGGGGAATATAAAAATAAAATTTATTATTTAAAAAAAAAAAAAAAAAAAAGAAAGTGGACAACTTACCGTGATGACTCTGAGAACGCCTCCCCCATCATTTACTGTCACTCTGTGGAGATTTCTTGACACCAGGCCCTGGTGGTCTTGGCTCTCCCACACAATTGTACCTTCAAAGCTCTTTCATGGAAAGATGAAAGATGAACAGTAAAGTCAACTTATTTATTGTTGTCATTAAGGTTTTAACTGAGATTTACAGAAAATTTTATTTCTAAGACATATCAGTTAAAATTTCTATTCCACAGATATATTTTGCCAATATTTTGGTGTTTTTGAGTCCTTTTTAAAATGCACATTTAAAAAAAATAACACAACGGCAATTTTGCAGGCTGCTCTGTCATTTTCCATTGAGTCAAAAGCATGTCTGTATGCTACCAAAGCTGTTACAACTATTTTTTTAATGTGTGTATGACAGGCCACTGAGTGGATGCACTGATTCACACAAATACTCCCTACTGGCAAGACTTTTTTAAGTGACAGTGCTGAAATTTAACCTCTGGCCACCAAGGAGTCCCTACTATCAGACATTTAGATGCTACCAAATATCCACTAAAATGATGTGAGACATTTTTGATGTAAATGTTTATTTTTCTACAATACTTCTTATAATTTATATGGTCATTAGAATTAATGGGAATGTTGATTGCATTTTACTTTTCCCACTATGGGATATTAGTAAAAGAAGTTTAAGCTAATTTAGTAGATTAAAAAAAGTCATTCCTTATTTGTGTTTCTTTCAATTTCTAGTGATAATTTGAATGACACGGTCTCTTCTGGAATTGGCTTTGTCATTTAGCTATTGAGTTTTTAATTTTTTTACTATCTATGTGAGCTTTTAATCAATTATCTGAACCCTGTATATATTTTCTACACTAAAAATATTTCAGAATTGTTTGCTACTTATTAGATTTTGTGAAATTCAAATGTCCATTAAATTTTATCTTGCCAAATCTGACAAGTTTTTCCTTTGTGATTACTACTATTAAATTTAAAGTTTAGGAAGTTATAATCCCTCCCTCAAGCTTTGATATACATTAAATTCTAATGTCTTCTCATTTCTTTATGGTTTCCATTTTTAATATCTGTGCTCAGCTGGTTCCTTAAGTACTGCTCAGGTCTCAGCTCCTCTCACCTCCTCAGAAAGGTTTTCCCAAGATACAGCAAAAGGCAGCCACCTCCCAGTTTCTATCACATTACTCTACCTTATTAATACTACTCATCACTCTGATATTTCTTTTTTATTTTTCTATTGTCAAGCTAACTGCTCCCCCTAGAATGTAAGCACCTTGAGAGCAGGGATCTTTTCTGTCTTATTAATCACTATATTCCCAGCACCTCAGATGGCTTGACATAACAGGCCCTGAAAAATATTCACTCAGTAAGGTGGACCTCAAAATCATTAGAGTGAATTCTGGTCTACAGCATGAAATAAAGGACATAATTTTAATCTTCTAAAAATAATTTCATTTCCTAAGACTAAGAGATAATTTATAGTAATGTGTAGTTTAGCCAGAATTGTAAGGAAACTATAAAACTGAATGTGTCAAATAATTCAGGCCACTGGTTTGTAAGTTTTTTTTAAGCAATAAAACTTCTCTAACCCAAATAGATAAAAATACTGAAAGATTTTGGATTCCTCTGGCAGCCTGTCACTTTATATTCAGCTAATATATCTTTAATCTTCATTATTTATGAAACTCTTGATGCAATTTGTGGAGCCCGAGGGATCCTCAGAGCAGATCTTGCAGATACAAGATCTGTGTCATCATTTCTTAAACTTTAAAATAGAGAGAAAGCTACCTCGGAGGTTGTTTTGAGAATTAATGATAATGTGCATGTTTGTTCAGCAAAATATAACCTTACTGCCACTAGAGGAACATAGAATGTGAACTGCCCTTCTAAAAGATTCCATTTTCTTATCTTTGAAATAGGTGATGATCATTTCTACATGTTCCCTGGGTGGCCTTAACTCTTTTTCTCAAGTGATGTTAGACCTCAATTCTGTAAAAACAAACCAACCAACCTCATAACAGAAGGGAAAACAAAAAGGACGAGGATGAAACATACTATGTACATTGGGGAATAGGTGGTAACATCATATTCTTTTAACCTTTTGTTTTTTTTGTCAAGTTATCAACAGTGAATATGTGTTACTTTCATACATTTTCATACTTCATGATCAAGAAAAATTTAAACCAAACATACATACACAACTAAGTAATTTTGGGGTCAGCCTTTTAGGGAGATGTTATTAAACTTTTGAGTGTCTGTTATGTATCAGTTGTCCAGTATGTAGCTGAAGACTTAAAAAAAAAATCAAAACAAACAGCTTGTATCTTTAAATAATCATAATATGCCACTACAGGCTCAATAACAAAGGAAAGCCATTCTGCTTGGGGACATCAGACAGAATTTCAAACGGCAAGCAGAGCCAAACTAAGTCTTAAAGGATCTTGGGTCAGAAAAATAGGAGCAGGGCCTCCCTGGTGGTGCAAGGGCCAAGTCTTAGCACTATGAAGCTATCTGCAGCATGAGTTCGAATTCGATTTCCAGCTAGGGAGATGACCCACATGGTGCAGCAGACCTCTCCTGCCTCACCTGCTGCTCCCCTCAGCAGTGTACTTTGGTCAATTTGCCTGTTTTGTTCCCCACTCCGTGTCTGGTGAATCCTCTCACCCCTCCACACCTCTGGCCTGTACCCCAGTTCTTCTATGCATAAATAAATAAATCTTAAAAAAAATGGTACAGGAAAAGGTGTGTACCCTTTTCCTAATCATTGGGGAAATGCAACTCAAAACTTACCTCACACTTAGTAGAATGTCTAGTATCAAAAAGACAACAAATGTTGGTAAGGATGTAGAAAAAAGTAAGTCCTGTGCACTACTGGTAGAAATGTAAATTGGTGTAGTCACTATGGAAGAAAAGTATGACGGTCTCTCAAAAAATGAAAAATAAAATTACCATATGGTCTAGCAATTCTATTTTGGGTGTTTACCTGAAGAAAATGAAAATGCTAACTTGAAAAGATAAATGCTCTCTCATGTTCACTGCAGCATTATTTACAATAGCCAAGACATGGAATTAAACTCAAATGTCTACTGATGCAAATATGGATAAAGAAAATGTAATGTGTACATACAATAGATTATTTGACCACTAAAAAGGAAATCTTGTCATTTTAGACAACATGGATCAACCACGAGGGCATTATGCTAAATGAAGTAAGCCACACAAAGGCAAATACTGTATGATCTCACTTATATAGGGAATCTTAAAAAAAACAAAAATAAAAACAAAAACAGAATAGATGGGTTGTTGCCACAGGTGGGAGGAAGGGAGTGGGATGGGCTAGGGTAGGAGATGTGTGATGAAAATGGATAAAAGTGGTCAAAAAGTACAAACTTCCAGTAATAGAAAACTTGTCCTTTGAGTTTAACTAATTAAAGGCCAACATTTAAAGGAAACAATTTGTAACAAATGGGAAGAGCTTTAAGATTGAAGCTTAATTAGTAAAATCAATACTTTAAAAATACACGTATAAATAAGTCACTGTATATCAGAGAATTGGGTTGAGAGAAATTTTGGCAATGTAGCAATGTCCAAGGAAAGAAAGATGCAATAATTGGAAGGCATAAAATATCCTGGTCACATACAACCCGTAAGAAATAGCTTTCTAAAACACCTACTCCTCACTGTTGTGATCTAATTCAATGCCCAGAGCAATGCTGTTCAGATTCAGTTTTATAGGTACTTTGATGTATCAGGAAGAAGGCCCCTAGATAGGTGTCATGAGTATCATGAGCATTCAAATCACTCTCATGAGCTAACACCCATTAAAGATGAATGTACTGATATTCTAGTTTCTACACTGTTCTTCTGTAAATCTGAGCATTTTTCACTGAGAATCTAACCACTGTTAAGAGAACTAACGAGAAAGTCAGGGTTAGGACCTGAAAGCTAAGTCCTAAACCCTTGACTATGTGCTCTGGATTAATCATGTGTCTTTCTCCTGGCAACAACAGCCCCTTGCCCTTGTATACTTTTTCTTCTGAAACTTTAATAGCAATAAGGTTTGCAAAGACTGGTATCAAATATGCTTAGAAGAAAAACTGATAGGACTCAAAGAGTACTTGATATGAGAGTTAAGGATGAAAGCCATGATTCTGGTTCAGATGCCAGAGGAAAAAAGATATAATCAGCCAAGAGGGTATTTAGAATTCTTATGGGGCATTCTAGTTCAGGAGGCAGCTGAAGTGTTTATGGACCTCACCAGATAGAAAGCAAAAGAGGAGGAGATAATGAAGTACACAGGGAAGGAGGATTGGGCCAGAGGTGAGCCAAAAGAAAGCACATTATCTCAACCAAGAGAAAACTGCAGTCATCTAGGGTGAGACCTGCAGTTAGATTACTGCTAATCTTAGCAATTGTGGTTTCAAGTGAACCATACCACTAGGAATGGCTATAAACAAAAGTGCCTCACCCTGGAATTACAAATCTAGAAAATATGAAAACAAAACCAGTCATTCTCAGCTGTGTTCATTCAACTGATATCTAGCATCTGTCCTACTAGTTGACAGTGGTTCCTGCTGGCATCCAACTCCCTTATGTCTCTGTGTGTATGTGTGTGTGTGAGAGAGACAGACACACAGACAGAGTGGGTCACAACACAGCATCAACAATACTGACTAAATTGAGTGATCACCAGAAAAAATTCATTAGCCTAAAACATGATTTTGTTTAATTCACTGAACTTATATAACCACCACTTGTTTTGTTGGTAGGGAAGGGAGGAGCTGTATCTTCTCTCCCTCTCCTGTACCTGCAAATGCACTCCACATCACAGCAGAAGTTCTATTTCTGCTTTCTATTCTGATACAAAGTGATGATAAAACCAGGAAGGACTCTCTTTACAAGAAAAACAACTTGTTTATGGCAATTCCCTGCTAAGATCATAAAACCAAGATAACATTTGGATGGAACAGCATGGCCTAGGTTGCAAAAAGGAGATCTCATAAATTAATTCATCCACAACTTAAGCAAGGATGTGAATCCCCTTCACATGATAAATTCTTTTGTGTCCTATTTCTAATGTGTTATCCAAACCAACAAAGGAGCTTAACTATTTGTGCCTGAAACTATTAAAATTTCTTGTGGACCAGAAAACAGATGACATCTAAAGAATTTCAACTTGCATCAAAGCTAAGTATTTAAGTATCCACAATGCTAAAAATGATGTTTCCAGTCACTCAGGTGAAAGCAAACAGTCTTTTCAATGAAATTAGTTTCTGGTTTCAACTATACTATTTAGGAACATAGGAAATTAGAGAAATAAATATTTTAAGAAAGGCACACTGCAGTCTCAGTTTAAATTTTGCAGGACCCCCCTTCTCAACTGAGATTTAGGCATTAGTGAGTCACACAATAAAAACATTACAAGAGACCTGCTATTTGACAAGTTTTGTACTGCTGACACCTTACTCTAGTTGATGGAAGTGCAAAGGTTATATGATGAACATATCATCTACTTCTCCCTCTCAAATGGCATAAGCAAGTTGGTTTTCTTCTGTCACATTTTTTACTGATGCTCTGCAAGCAAACCATTCATCACTAGCTTTTTGATGCTAATAAGCCCAATTAGGCTTGATGCAGTAAAAATGTGTAAAATTAAACATACTTTCAACAAAAATATAATTTTATGTAAAAATATTTTCTTATTTAAAGTCCATTTTAAATTTATATTTATTACAAATATATATTTATTACAGAACATTTAGAAAATAGATAACCAAAATAAAAGGAAAACCATCCATAATCTAACCTGCCCAATGCGTAATCAGTTAAGTAACTGCATATTTTTAAAAGAAAAAAACATTACTCAAAAGTAATGAAAAAAAATCAAAAAGGTTTAAGGGAAATAAAGATCACAACACTATGGGCATTAAAAGTCTTAATAGCTCAAATAGCCACTCACATTTTTGGCGAAGTGCTTCCATCACTAGTACCTACTGCCACAATAAACACTGACCCTAAGTGACACTTTGCCCCAACCCCATTTTTATTTTGAAAACTTCAAACCTATAGAAAAGTTGCAATCAACAACCAAACCAATTCGACTCACTGTAACGGCAGGAAGACACGGAGCAGGATCTCTGATCTGAGCAGATGGGTTAAAGGAGGAGAGAGTCCTGAAGCCCTCGGTGGCTTTTCAGGCTTTCACTGGGATATATCAGGCACACGGCAGGCAGGCCTGCCAGCCTCCCAGCCCCCAGCAAATCTTCACTCTGTCTGGGCTCTCCGGCGTTCTCTGGTGGTCTCTGCTGCTTTGCTCTCCTCATGGTTCTGCTGGCGTCCCTGTGATGCCACCCTTATAAGCTCAGTCTCTCAGCCCAGGTGTACACATGCCCATACCCTACTCCAGGTGCCCGCCATCAGGCATGCATTCAGGACCACAGGGATCCATCATCAATCCTAATGGTGGGAGGGCAGAAAAGCCTGACATTCTTTCACTTACTCTGCACTCATCAACTGTTAACATTTAGCCACATGTGCTTTATTTCACACACATACATATTTTTCTGCAGTTTGCTGTTAAATCACTTGAAAGTAAATATGGAGCTATCATGACATTTCACCTTTAATACTTCTCAATGACTTCTAAGAACAAGGGCATTCTAAGGGGGAATGATTTTTTTTTTGGTGGACTAATCAAAATTTTAGGCTAATTGTGGTTAGCATAAAATATTAAAGCTTCTTTTCTTCGTCCTTGCCACACACTGCTTTTATTTCCTCCAAGAGTTTCTTGAGACCAGCGACATTTTTGGTCAGAAAGTGCTTTGTGTGGGCCTCCCTGGTGTCGCAGCGGTTGAGCGCTGGGTTGCGAAGCTGCCCGCAGCCTTTGCAGCACCGGTTCATTCCCCGGCTGCTCCGCGGCCACCGGAGGAGGGTCCCACATGGTGCGCAGACCTCTCCTGCCGCCCGCTGCTCCCCTCAGCAGTGTACTTCAGTCTGCCTGCTCTGCTCCCCGCTCTGGCTCTGGTGAATTCTGTCACCCTCCTGCGCTTCTGACTGTACCCAGTGCTTGTATAAATAAATAAAAATAAATCTTTAAAAAAATAAAAAGTGCTTTGTGTGGGGGCTGTCCTGTGATTGTAGGATTTTCAGGAGCATTCCTAGCCTCTACGTATAAGATGCTGGTACCACCTGTAGGGTAAGGTAAAAAGTACCAGGCTTTTCTGCCCTCCTGCCCTTAGGATAGATGATGGATCCTTGCGGTCCTGAATGCATGCCTGATGGCGGGCACCTGGAGTAGGGTGTGGGCAGAGGTAGATGGGATTCACCCGGGCTAAGACTGGGCTTTTAAGGGTGGTGTCATGGGGACGCCAGCAGAAGCCGAGAAAGAAGCAGAACAGAAGCTGAGAGACAAAGAATGCCAGAGAGTCCAGACAGAGTGAAGACTTGCTGGGGGCTGGGAGGCCTGCCAGCCTGCCAGCCTCCCGGCCCCCTGGCCCCCCTGCCTGCTGTGTGCCTGGTAAATCCCAATAAAAGCCTGCAAAAGCTACTGAGGGCTCTAGGACTCCTCCTTTCCCTGGTCTGCTGGATCAAAAAACCTGCTCAGTGGCCTGTCCTGCCCCTATACCACCTCAAGCCAGCTGTAACACTAAACTGTCCCAGACACTGCTAATTGTCCCCTGGTGGGTAAACTGCCCCAGTGGAGAAACACTGCTCTTGAAGAATAGGACCTCCAAAAGCGGAAGAGTAGAAGCAGTAATTAAGCAGAGTATACATTTATTTACGGATGCCTACCACGTGGCAGCAAAGCCTAGGTATTCTACGTGTATTGTCATTTACCATTTAGTGCCAAGAGTCCTCTGAACTGGGTCATGTAGCACCTCCATCTTACAGAGAAGGGGACAGACTCAGTGTTTAAGTAGCTTACACAGGTCACAGAGCCACTGAATGGCAGAGCAGGGATTCAAATTCACACATGTAATACTCACATGTGCCCACTCAGATGAGCACTAACACCCAAATGGGCCCTCAGGTGCATCATTTTTCTTGCCAACTTGTGCCAGTCCTCTCAAGCCTTTTGTGGAAATCACCACTACATCAGGTTTCGGACCTTTCTGAACAGCATCAGACACAATGCTGGTGGCTCCTGGTCTCCTCAGAATAACATTACTCTCCCCCTGGGAACCACACAAAGACTGAGTTTGGTTCCACCTATGCTAGTCCTGGGCAGAAAGGATGACTTGTTTCAATCCCAAAGGAGCTGATCAATGAGTTAATGTAGGGAAGTCACTCAGCTGTGCCTGGCATGTGACAGGTGAGCAGACTATCATGGTTAGCATTTTCACCCCACTAGGATGTAATAAGCTGCTTTAAAGGCAGGGATCTTCGTACCGTGTCTTCAAAATGCCCCACTGCTTGGCACATACCAAATTGTTGATAAATGTTTTCTGAGAAAAGATAAACAAACCAAAGAATGGCTTCCTTTAAAACTAAAAATCAAACACTTGGTCAATACTCTGTAGCTGACATGACTTTTAAAAGTATGGGATACCTTTGATGGTACATATTTCATTTAACAAGGAAAAAAGTTCAAAATGGAAATTTAAAAAGGACATAGGAATATAGGCATTCTCATGTAATGCTGATGATATTCAAATTGATGTAAACTATAATATGCCTTCCAGAAAGAAATCTCATGCCTTAAAAATGTGTATGAAGTATGAACCAATACTTCATCCTCAGAAAAGAATAGTTATGCACACAAAAGAGAGGCATAAGGATATTCACTTTAGTCTTTTTTACAACACTTAGAAAATAGAATTTCCCCAGTGTTTTGCTTCAATTAAAACTGCATTTTAAAATGGAAGTTCATATACAGATGAAATAAAGGAAATCACCTTTGACATTCCCCAAATTAAATATAATTACTTGAACTCAACTTCAAAGATCCACAACACATTAATAACATGTATAATTCTGTTGCATAAATGTGAACAGCAGCCTACAAAACTGGGTTACATTCTTCTAGGTTAATCTATTAAATTGTCTAGTTTCACATCTTAACTTTGATGCTGCAGGACAAACTCTACAGCTACTCTAAAATGACTCCAGAGATAGCTGGGAAACTGACCCCCTGTTGTGGTTCAAAGCAGTTTCAGTAAAGTATTCAGACAAGGCTGAAATAGACTGGAAAGGCTGAGGTTACTGAACGAATAATCTGTTCGTGTCCAACTGTTTAATAATCCACAACCACACTGTGGCTCAACTCCAGGGGATCTGGCAGGTGATGTGGTCTCCAGCACTTACCTACTTAATACTAGAACTGGAGGGACCCAGAAGGAGACAAGTTATGTTTTCTGACTTCATCCACAACTTGGAGAAGTTTTATTTTTCTTGGAAATGTGATGGATCTTTTGCCATTACTCCCTTCTTCCCCCTACCATTCTTTAGATTAGTAAATTGATTTATCAAATGTATGCGTGTTTGGTCTATCAACCCACCTATTAGTATCTTCAGTCATTGAAACAGTTGTGCTGTTCTCCATGCCACTAGATAAACCATGGCAACATGCAAAGCTTTTCAAATAGTATTGTCTTAGAATCTGAGGCAGCATGAAGCTCTCTGCAGATAGGATATTTCAGTATGTGGCAGGTGGCAGTCTCATCTGCCCATCCTGGTACGCCAGATGTCAAATGCTTGCCTCTGAACACACACACACAGGCTTACGGAGGACTGCCCTGGCACCATAGGCTTTCATTACATGTTGTACCTCTGGTAAGATGAACTGCTCCACAGGCTTGTACCATAGCTTGTTCACCTGCACACCACAGCTCGGAGGACTAAAGCGAGCAATGAAGAGGGCCTCCTACAAAATGGAATAAAAAACAAAGGCAAAAAGAAATATTTCACATTAGACGCTGCATATGCAACAAGTTTTCAAACATCCTATACCTCGGTCAGCTAAATCCTCACGGGTGCCCACCATGATTACTAACACTATTCCACTGTGGACTCGGCATCATTTGAGTCTTTGAGTGCAATATAGTTATTAAAGATGTTTAATATAACCAAACATATGGTAAATAAGGGGAAATATTAAAAAAAATCTAAATTACCATACATTTAGCTCTTCACAGCAAAAAAATTATACAACTGCATTAAGGAATTTATAGCGTACACAGACATAATGCATATGACAACCACAACAAAAAGACAGGGAATGATAAATTGAATTGTAAGGTTCCAAGGTTCGTATATTTTAAATGAAGGGGTACAACCTTCACTTAAGATCGAAAAGATTAGGATGTATGTTGTAGCCTTTCTGTAAGTGATACACACACACAAAAAAATAGTACAAAGAACTAAAAGGACAATAGAAAAATTAAAATGAAATTCCAAAAACATTCAATTAATGCCAAAGAAGGCAAGAAAAGAGGAAGAAACAAAAAAGTAGAAGAAACAGCAAACTAAAAATCTGAAAATTATCCATTTCAATAACTGCATTAAATGTAAATGGAATAAACACTCTAAGCAAAAAGTAAAGATTCTCAGACTAGATACAAAAGGAAGACCCAACTATACATTGGCTACAAGGAACAAAATTTCCAGCAATACATGCGACCAAGAGGAATAGGAATTTGGTTTAACACACCAAAGGCAATAAATATAATTCATCACACTATAAAGGAAAAAAAAAAAAAAGCCTGGAAACATTCCAGACCTTCCAGATGCCCATAAATATGAGAATAGATGAACACTGTGTATTACTGAATACAACTTAGCAATTAAAAGAAGGAAAAGGGGGCCTCCCAGGTGGCGCAGCAGTTGAGTGCTGGGTTGCGAAGCTGCCCACAGCCTCTGCGGCGACGGTTCGATCCCCGGCTGCTCCCCAGCCACTGGAGGAGGTTCCCACATGGCGCGCAGACCTCTCCTGCCGCCCGCTGCTCCCCTCAGCAGTGTACTTCAGTCCTTCTGCCTGCTCTGCTCCCCGCTCTGGCTCTGGTGAATTCTCTCACCCTCCCGCACTTCTGACCGTACCCAGTGCTTGTATAAATAAATAAATGAATAAATGAATGAATGAATGATAAATAAAATACATGCTTCTTAAAAAAAAAAAAAGGAAAGATCCACTGTTACACACAATATGAATGAGTTTCAAAAAAAGTTATGATATGCACACTGAAGTATCTGCAACGTGCTCTGAAATAACTTTTAAAAAGGAAGATTGAGGAATGACCATGTGATAATGCAAGTACAGCAAAATGATAACTTTTATAAAATTTAGTTGGTGGATGTATATGTGAATGTTCACTGTATTCTTCTTTCAAGATTTCTGCAGTTTAAAACCCAGAAACAGATCTTTTCAAATATAATTTCCTGCTACACTGTTTCAAATACTGTAAACAAATCAGATTTCCCCAAATATCAAGAACAGAGTAACACCAGTTGTTTTAAACTTTCATTCCCCCTATATCCTTAGTACAAAAAAGACTTGAAGCACTCGTGTTATCCCTGTATTACAGTGGCAGACTTTCAGGATTGGAAAGAAAGTAAATGCTTATATCTAAAAGTCTCAAATTTTTTATATCCATTATCAACTTTTGAAATGCCTTACAGGGGATTTTAGGTTGGAAATTTCCAATCTGGTCTAACTCCTTTCCTAGATATAACACATTTATTTATTGGCATTTTCTCCCCAAACCAGCACTATAATATACCATATTATAGTGAATCCAAATCAATAAGGAAAGAAACATAAAAGTCTTCTAAGCTGACAGAATTATGTAGCCTTCCAACTTACTAATATGTCATTAAGGAAAACCCAGAAGTTTTTAAAAAAAGGGAAAATGAGATTGTACAGAGCAGTATATACCTCCTGTTCTGCCTGATAAAGCTTGACAGTGATGTTCCTCTGGAAGCCCACATCGTTGGCATCATCAAACACCCCAAGACTGGTAATAATGATCGGGTGGAGAACTCGGAAGCTCACACTGACGACTCGGTCCTCAGAGAGCCCTGATGAAGTATCTTCAGAAAGACTGAATGCCTCAATTTCCTGATTCAAAACTAAGGAAGTAATGAGATAAGGAGTTTTACATAATCAAACATATAACTTTTTATTTTACTAATATGATGTAATGAAGCCGGTTGATAGCAAAATAAAGCCACGCTGTATAATTTTTTCACAAAGAGCAGTAATTTAGAAAATACTTCTGAAACACAGCTGTGTCTACAAAAAAATTTATTTGAAATTTAAGAATGAAATCTTCAGCCACATCTAAGTGAAATATTTAATTACTAGAACAATTTTCATAGATTTTTGCATACACATGTATGTGTTTATACAATGCCAAAGGGGAATATTTAATTCAAAGGCCTCTATTAGGAAAAGGTGGATAAATAGGGGTATAAAAAACAGCCATAAACATTTCTGATTGCGGTCATAAATAAGAAATAAATTTAGTCTTGCTCTATAAATTCCAAAATTCCTATGTATGGTAGGGGCAATTTAAAATATTTGTGATGTTGGGCAATTATTATACATAAGTAAATGACATCATTTCAAATAATATCAAAACTGTTCACATACAATATTGATATCAGAGAAGACTATCAAACACAGTAAGCATTTCTGAGCACATATTGCTTAAGTCCTCAATAGGTTCCTGGAAACTGACTTTAAGCAAAACGACATTTTATTAAGATACTTTCATTATAATGTTGATGAGAAAAAAAATCCCAGCTGACACTGAACAAAATGACATTCAACATGTGACATGTCTTACATGTTTACATTTTTACAACTATCCCAATCATTGTGCTATTATCTCTAGTTTACAGATTAAAAAACTGAAGTCCAGGAATAGTAAAGAATTTGCTCAAAGTCACAGAATGTAGCAGACTTAAGAATCAAACCTATTAGGGAATTCAGATTCGCTGTTCTTTTCACTCTCTCACAAATAAAAGTTACCCAAAAAGTCCTTTTCAAATAAATTTTTCTATTACAATAAATGAACCAGGAGAGATTTCATGAAGCAGTTAACATGGCAAGATTATCAGTGCCACTTTGATAAAAAATATAAAAAAAAATTGTTCCAAAAGATTAAAGTTCTTTGTCTCTTTTAGAGTTGTAGTTTTCCAACTCGCTGACACCACCACTGGTAAAAATATATATACACACCGTCATATATATATTTATAAAATGCACACTTATTTTTGTTGGTTAATATATTCAGTATCATAAAGACTACGTAATTTTAGACAAATATAAACTCTGTTCTCACAACCCAGCAGGTCATTTGGATCCCTACCTTAGACTTCCTAGAATGCTATTTCGCGCTTAGTAGATGCTCGATAAAATGTGACTAAACAGAACTGATGGCTACCACCAAATTATATACATGAGCAGAAGGGAGGAAAAAGGAGGATGCAGATTTTGGCATAGGCTAGGCAAACAATGGTCAGAGAATGAGGACTCCAAATATACTGAACAATAATAAAAAAATTTCTCTTTAATATACTTAGTAATTGAAATAGATTCAAGGTAAAAGCATCTCTATTGAAGGCAATATTAAACATATAACTACACATTTCTATAGAAAATATATGTACTTTGAACGTCAAGCTACCTTGATATAGGAAATCCTGCAGCTTTAAATTGCTATTATTCAAAACTTCTAGAGTATCATATGATAACCTAAATACTATTTGAATCATCAAAAAGATAAAATTTGGTTCAATATTAATTTAGTAATATCTATTTTAAAAAATCTTAACCTAGGTATTATATATATGAAAGTTTTTCTATTAATGGAAACTTCCACTCCTTTACTATTTATGAATAACAGCACTTAACATAGAAAAAAATCTGGCTAATTTAAAGGTAAGATTTTTAAAAAATTGGTTTGGTTTCAGATTCTAAACCTTATTTGTTCTAGACTACTCTGACATCATCAGCAATAAAACATGTTTTTAGGTTCATGGTCCTTTTGAGACCCAGTGAAAAGAATCCTCTTCCCCTACAAAAACACAATTATACACAAAATTTTGCTGACAATGGTCACTAAATTCCATAGACATCCTAAATAAGAAACCTCTGCTTTACATTAAAGACTTTAAAATATGTTCCAATTTATTAAAAAACTGATAGAAACCCAAAAAGCAGGTTCTTTAAAATAATAAAACCACCTACCATGTTCCAGGAATTATACTAAATATTGTGTGTCAATATTCTTTCATCCTCATTTTGATTCCTAAGTACTTTTATCCCTAGTTTACAAGCAAGGAAACTGAGGAAGAGGGGCAAATTAACAATCAAAGGTGATGCAGCGAGAAAATAGCAGAGCGTGGATTTAAAGTCATGGAGCCTGACTCCACAGCTCATCCTCTAAATCTCTACACTGTAACTGTCTATAAAAGCAGGTGTACATAATTACAGAGATTTCACAAATCTTCAAATACCAGAAGTCACAATCAGCACATTTAAGATTTGGAAAAGTGTAATCTCCCTTAGAACCACAGTTGAACATAACAGGAAATGCTAATAAGACAGACAGCTGTTGAGACATGAACTTCCTAAAATCAGTCTCCCAATAATGTGAAGAACTTTTTATGATCAACTAATTATGATCAACTTTTATGAAGAACTAATTATGATCAACTTTTCTTCCTCCTCATCAGAACTCTCAAATCTTTTGTAAGGAGTAGAAAACATTGTATTTAACTTTTACTAGTTTCTTTTGCTGAAGCTTAGGCCATAATCTAAGAGAAAGCTGATCTACACTTCTTATATTAAAGCTATTCTAAATCAACAGGCTAGTGAAACCAGTAGTTTACTAAGATTTAAAATTTAGTAATTTAAGATTTACCTATGCATAAGGAATCCAGAGGCATTTGCATCATATTGAAACATAAACTGAAATTATGTATCTCTATAAAGAATCTCCACAAATATCCCAGCTCTCAAAAGGGAGGAGATAAATTTGATGAAAGTTTGATTTTAGTCTGCTAAAAATAGACCATCATACTATTCAGCTTAGCAACTTCTCCTCAACAAACTTGGATAGGGCAGTCACAAGCTGAGGAAAAGGAAGACACACACTCACCTGGATTCGTGATGTTGAGTAGTCTGCAGGAATAAGGGTCTTCCCTGTCTTCCACAGGTACTTCACAGCCATGAGCACCTATTATGAACTTCACAAGCACACTGAGAGATGTGTTGGCATTAACATCAGTTACTGATCTTCACTTTGCACATGCATGTTTCCTCACGCCCATTTCAAAGCTTTTACTTTGAGACACAAATATTTACTGGGTTAATTCTAACTTCATTCTTCTAGTCTAGCACAAAGAGGGAAGAAGTAAACCAAAAGCTGCTAACTACCAAGTGCCTTAAGTATAAACCCTCTACTGCAGCACTACATGTGACCAAGTATGAATGTCTGGCTTGGTTACCAGTGAATTACATAAAGTCAGATTCCCACGTCCACATCCTAAAATACCCCTACAGCTCCAATCTTCTTTACCTGCTTTCTATTTCAGGTGTTCAAGATTAGTCTTTCTATCCAAGAGGAGGTCTTCTCCTCTCACAGGCCTTATTTCACTTGTTATACCTATTAACCAATGGTTTGTTCCCTACACAAAGTCCTGACAATTTTTGCCCACCCACCATTCTTCTTTGTGCCCACCCACTCCTTTCCAATGAAGTCCAACTTCACTCTGTAGGCTAAAACTACAGGCTCTAGTTTCTCATTTCCCATTTATTTTATACCCACCATTTCCGCTGAGATGTCTACCACCAATGTAACTACTGATCTGCTGTTAAATTGATAGATACTCTTCAACCCTTACCTATTTCACTTCTCTCTGGCTCGATAGACTGGTGTTCCTAAATGCCTTCTTCCCTTCTTTATGTGACTCTGCCCCACATCACTGGCTGATCTTCCCCAGTGTCAGTAAGAATAGGTATTATCCCAGGACTTTTCCCATGAATCTTTTCTTACTCTTCTCAATTATTCTCCCCGGGCAATATTTATTCCTAAGGCCTCAACCAACATGGGAATGATTCCTGAATTAGCGTCTCTAACTTGGACCCATCTTCTAAGTAAAAGATTTGCAAAGTCATTGTACATTTTTACCTAAATGATCTACAAATGGTTGAGTGCATCTTGAGTGCTAAATGGTAGTGACCAACTGGTTTGTGAGAGCCAATTACTAAATTTTGTGAGCTAGTTAAGCACAGCCTTCATTAAAAATTAAATTATAAGGCCTTCCCTGGTGGCGCAGTGGTTGAGCACTGGGCTGCAAGGCTGCCCGCAGCCTCTGCAGCGCTGGTTTGTTCCCTGGCCAACGGCAAGGGTCCCACAAAAAAAAAAAAATTACATTATATAAGTTTATAATTAAGTACACTGTATTAAAATCAAAGGAAATGCTCAAATTCAAAATTTCTTATTTATTTTACTATTATCTCTGCTCTTACGGCTATTTATACTTATTAAATCTATATGAGGAATTACAGTGTGTGTGCTATTGCATTATCTTCTTGAACTCTGTATTCTTAGATGTCACATTATTATTTGAAATTGCTCATAGTGGGAATATTTACAGGGTGGAAAATGGCAAACACTACAAATAATGGTTTGCTTTATTGCTTTGTTGATCATCTATTGATGGAGAAAATGTTAATGGTGCACATTAAACTTTAAAAAATATGATGTATCTGTAGTTATTGCATTGTGAATAGTAGAAAAAGAGGAAATACTTTTTTTATTGCTAAATCCATTACCTGGTCCAGCAAAGAAGTCACTCACTTCACGAAGAGTAAAGCCCTGTCACATATTTTGTCACTTTGGTATTTCTCTTTAATTTAAAGAGTAAGACATCAGAAGAACACTCTTGTAACTGCAACTGAACTGGTTATTATACATACAAAAGTGTGGCAAACACTGAAAGCATTCCATGAGAATCACCTAGCTATATGTAATTTACATCAAAGAATTTCATATGTATTATCTTTTAATTATGGGTACAACTTTTTGTATACATATAAGCATACCTTTTTTCAGAGAGTCAATTAGTAAACACTTACTAGCATAGCACTGCCTGCAGGGACCTCAAACTCAACATGGTCATAAATTACATATCCATAAATTAGCTTATTTTCCATGAAACCTGCTCTTTTCTTTTCTGGTATTTTCTTTTCTCTTGATTGATGATTTCATTATTCTTTAAGCCAGAAAGCTAGTAATCATGCTTGACTGCTCCTCTTTCTACATCCTACCTTACTTTCCTATTAGGTCACCACATTAGTTCACCTTACAGCAGTCCTCCAGTCATTGAACTTGCAACACAATTATTCTGTACAATCTGGTAACTGCCTAGATGTCCTCCCTTTCTCTTTATGTAATCATCTCTGCCTCTCTGCCCAAGCAAGTCTCATATATCTACAAACACATATATCTCCCATAATCCCTGTGCTCCAATTACATAGAACTGCTTGGTTTTTGAGAACACCCCAGGCTACTTTATATCACAGCACATTTAACATTTTATTTCACTATTACAACTATTTCCTCCTATTAAACTTCAAACCCTCACTAAAGACTCAAGCTATATTGTACCTACCTTTGATTTCTACCACATAATATACTACCTGTAGGCAGAATGTAATTAATAAATATTAAATTGACAACTTATGGTTTTATTACAAAGACTTGCTAATTACATAAAGTTCTCAAAGTATACATGGGGCCTGGCTCCTTCAGTGAAACGCAAGATTTGAAAGTAAGCCATAGTACAGAAATACACTTTCTTTTACTGATGACCAATTAAGGCAGAATACCTCCTAAACAATTAGCATCTAGAATAAAAATATAAACAGGAATGAATAAATCTGCTAATTACATAATCACATATATTTGCCAAATATGTTTTTTAAAGCCATCTTTTATTTCTTACTACATCTATGAAATTTCATCTCCAGAAGGAATTCTTGGCTAATATCTATTTTTATACAGATGTCCAATCATTTTTGTAAAACAAATCACCAAGTTTACTAAATTTAGAGCAAGAATGCTATGATGGTAAAAAAAAACACAAAATTACTGGCAAATGTCCCAATGTTAATTTTACTGATTACATTTAGTTCTGAGTCACTCACTCAATAGCTAAGTGCCTTACTCTGTGCCAAGTTAGGTTCGAGGCACTGGGAATGCATCAATAAAAAAAAAAAAAACCTGAAGCTGCTACACTCACGAAACATATTCCAGAGGGAAAAACACAATTTATAAATATACAGCTAAATATAATACACACACTAGTTGGTAATAAGAAAAAGGAAGGCCATGTAGGGAAGACGGAGAGGGAGCAGAGTCACATGGTACTTAGTAAGGTCTGTCTACTAAGGTGGCATTTAAGCAGATACCTGAAGAAAGCGAGAAGTGGGCCATGAGGATACCCAATGGAAGAGTGGCATAGATAGGCAGGTAGCAAGTGCAAAGGCCCCAAGGCAAAGCACACTCAGTGTATATTAACACAGTAAGGTGGCCAGCACAGAGAATGTCAATGTAGGTAAGGTCAAAGACCACAATAAAACCCTGGAATTTCACCCTGAGCAAAAAGAGAAGTCAAGGGAAATATAAGCAGAAAATTGACATAATTTAATTTTATGAAAAATAAAACGCAGGGGATCAAAAGTGAAAGAAGAGAAGGAGGCTTCCACAATAATACAAGTGAGAGTAAATGGCAGCCTAGACCAGCATGGTAGTATAAAGGGCGAGAAATCAGATTCTAGCTGTGATCTAAAGGTAGCACGAAGAGATGCTGATGGACTGAATGTGGTAAATGAAAGCAAGAAGAATCATGGTAACACCGCACTGCAAATTTTAAAAACCTCAATATTTTCCTGATTCCTCAATATCTCGGTCAACGGACTGTGATCATCTGCCCCAGTGACCAGGTGCATCAGTGAGCTAGGGCTGGTCCTTGCCTCAAGTTCCTCTTCTTACCCTCTCCTGTAACTTAGTAACATTCAAACACAACAATGAAACTCTCTCACCCCTTTTGGTTATATATTCTATCCTGATCTCCAGTAAGACACTTGCCTGTGGGTCCTCACTCTCAGGATGCTCTGCTTCTATGCCTTCCTGAATAGGGTATGATGCCTCCCTCTCTAGGATCTGTAAGTACAATAAACCTTTAATTTCATATTGCTTCTTTCTGTGTAATTTACCATGGGTATGTCGGAACCATCCTTAGAGCACCCGCAAGGTAGACCAACTGCTCCATTTATAAACATCAAGGTTTTGGGTCTGAGTAACTAGTAGAAAGGGATCATTATTTTCTGAGATGGAAAGCATAAAGGAAATGCAGGTTTTGGAGGTGGTTCTGATAGAAGTGATGATTCTGAGGCCTTTCATTTGCTAGGTAATAGGTTTTATTATCACTGTGATCACAAACTAAAGAAACCCGTCTTGAAAAGGAATGAAAACTGCTATGAGTAAGACAAGAAATCTGTACATGTTCACTGCTGGTGACAAGAAAATTCACACTGCAATTCACTTGTACAGCTACTCAGTCAGAAACGTGCCAGTTTAACGTAATCCTGAGAGGGCCTTCTCTGCTTCTCACCTAAATGTCTTCACAAAACTAGAAGTCCAACCTTTCCTGCTTCTGGTCCACTAGTCCCTCATCACATAATCACCAGAGGCTGCTCTCACTGAGAAGACTAAGACCCCTAACCAGTAACTGAACCATTTAATGTGCTATCAGAGTTCCTTCCTGGGAGGGTAGTCAGGAAAAAGAACATGGCCTGTGATACACACTGCAGGTCACGCAACTGAAAAATACTACAGAACTGAATAAAACTAAGTAAGATCATCTCTGCAAACTTAGTGACAAGCAAATTTAGATGGAAATGTGTCTGTCTAAGCAGAAAACTATCCTGGAATAAAACTGTTTAAGATTCTGTATCAAAACAAAACAAAAACCAAACTCAAAATAAAACTAGATAGCTATAAATACCAGGTATTTTAACTAATGAATACATCCTCTTTCACCACCAATCTTTTGCCTTAAAACCTTGGTTAAATTTACTTTTTGGGCCCATTTATATGGATGAGAAGCAAAAGAAAAAAGCCAATTCCCCCAGGAAGAGGTCACCTGTCTGACATCCTTGACTATCAAAGAAGAGGTTTTTCAGGACTCATATCCAGTAAATCAGGCCAGGTGTCAACTCAGAAAACCTACCGTTGACTTAATGCTGGATGTTGTATTAAATGCTTCAGCCAGGTGCTTCTTATCACATTCCGAAGTTCATGGTTATTGCGAGCTGATAACACACCAACTACCACATCATAATGACTAGACTTCCACTGAGGTAATAAGGCCAACTGATCTAGAAATAAGCAATAAATTAGAAATGCCATGTCTCAATTGCTGTTAAATTCAATATAACACAATTTACAAAATAATGTATGTTCATGTTTGTAGAAAATACAAAATACAAAGAAAAAAAATTTTAAGTACCCATAAACCCAACCACATAGACATAACCACTGTTAAGAGTTTGGTGTAATCTTCTTGTCTTCCAAACATATGTATGTATACATACATGTATGTAAATTCTTCAAAATAAGATGTATACAATAAGAGCCACTTTGTAAAGGCAATGTAGCATAAACCATAGAGTAGAGAGCAATGAGAGTCAATGAGACTATAGTTAAGAATTCTGGGTTTTTTTGGCATAGAACTGGGGTGTAGACCAAAGGTGCAGGGGGGTGAGAGGATTCACCAGAGACAGTGGAGAGCAGAACAGGTGGACTGATGGAAATACACTGCTGTGGAGAGCTGCAGGCGAGGCAGGAGAGGTCTGCTGCACCATATGTGAGTTAGCTCCCTGGCTGGGGATCGAACTCAGGATGCAGTGGTGATACTGCTGTGATTTAACCCCTAGGGCACCAGGTAGGCCAAGAATCCTGGTTCTTTTAAACTATAAAAGCTATTTAACCTCTGCTGATCATCACTTATGTCAGGGAAATGCAAATCAAAACCACAATGAAATACCACCTCACACCTGTGAGAATGGGCCCAAATTACGAAGACCAGAAACAAGTGTTGGTGAATATATGGAGCAAAGAACCCTCAAACACTGTTGGTGGCAATGTAGGCTAGTCTACCTCTCATGGAAAACAGTATGAGGTTTCTCAAAATATATTAAAAAAAAAATTCTACCATCTGATCTAACAATTCCATTCAGAGATATCTACCCAAAGATTTCAAAAACACGAAGCTGAAAGGATGTATGCACACCTATGATCATTACAGCACTATTTATAATAGCCAACCTATGGAAACAACCTAAATGCCCAAGGACAGATGAATGGATTAGGAAGATGTGATATATGTACACGATAGAATACTACTATTTAAAAAAAAAAAAAAAAAGATGATCTCTTGCCATTTGTGACATGAATGGAATCAGGGCATTGTGCTAAGTAAAATAAATCAGGAGAAAGACAAATACCAGATGATGGCACTTATATGTGGAATACAGAGAAACAAAACAAAGGGTCAGATGAAGCCAAACCAATAACAAACCCTAGAAATCTGACTGTAGATCTGAACTTACCAGAGAGTGTCAGAGACAGGGAGAGGACAAAGTGAGGAGGGAGCACTATAGTGGAGGACTACGGGTGCCTTGGTGGTGGCGAGGAAACACCTAAAGGGAGTGGTGCTATATTTCTAAATTATATACAAGTTGTAAGCCAATGCTTTTTCCAAAAAAGTGACTTAACTTCCTGAGTATCAATTTCCTTAATTACAAATGGGTGTACATCTCATATGATGATTGTAAAAATCAAATGAAGTGTTTATAAAGGTGCTGGTTTGGCATCAGGCAAGTGCTAGAAACTCAACAGCAATGACAAAAAAAAAATGCTTCCATATTATTGATAATAATTTAATATTACTAAGTTTTAGAGAAGTAGGACTACCATGCTAGAAGTATCAAAAAACTTATTTATGCCAGTAAATTCTACATCCAGCAAACCTGTATCACTAACTATTCTAAAGAATGAAGGAGAGAAGCAGTATTTCCAGAAAAAAAAAATCAAGTGACAAATCATGCAAATGGCTCATTTTTTACTGTTACATGGTCTAATGGACAGGATTACATTTAAAATTTTGTCATTAGAAAGACAAAAGAGAAAGACATTTGTCCCTATTTTTCATCACCCGTTTTCAAAGCTTGAGAGCAATAACTTATATATAGCTCTAATGAGTGATCCATTTCATGTCTTTCTCCAGTGGTGGAAACAGATCCAAACTGTTTCCAAAAATAAGTTATCGAAGGTCAGAGATCTTTACTACATTAAATGCAATGTTTTTATATACCGTTGTATCTAGATATTCAGTCGAAAGGTAACAAAAACATGTTGATATTTTTTAATGGGATGAATTAAAATAAAATCTGAGAAGGATAATTTAAAGTTATTGTAACAATCAAAGGAATTGTTGTGTAGATACCTTATTTTCTGCAATAGTTATCTTTCTAAAAAGGTATTTCAAGTCTAAATGGAACCGAGATACTTATTATTTCAGCTGTCCACAAATCTTGCACTCATTCTTCTACAAAGACAGAATTTATTGAAACCCAGATTTCATGGATTAGGCTTGTGTATTAACAGGCCATATTAAACACGATGCACTTACTACTATGCCTTGAGTATCATTTTAATGCTTTGCATGCAGAGTGTCACCTAATGCTCAGAAACCTATGAAGCAGGTGATATTAGGTTCCCCATTGAATGAGGCAACAGGCACAGGCCATTCAGTAATTTCCCCTCAGGTGCACAGCTAGTGAATGGGTAGGCTAAAACTTAACTCCAGGCAATCTAACTCCATACTTCATCTATTCTGTAGCTATGCAGCCTAACGTTGTTCATTAACTCCAATTCTCATCTTTACCCATACATTTATTCAACTAGTGAATTAGTGATAAGTAGATCACTGAAAATGCTGGTTAGCATACAAATTTTTTTTAAATTCACAGTTCCAGAACATTTTTTCTTATATATAATCATACATGGAAAATTGTACCTAGTGCTGGAACTAATTCTAGATGAGTCTGAGTTTGAAAAATAATTTATTTATTTGTTAAAAGGTTTATTTATGTATACAAGAGCTGGGGTATAGGCCAGAGATGTAGGGGGTGAGAGGATTCACCAGAGACAGAGTGGGGAACAGAACAGGCAGACTGAAACACACTGCTGAGGGGAGCAGCGGGTGAGACAGGAGAGGTCTGATGCGCCATGTGGGTAGCTCCCTGGCTGGCTGGGGATCAAACTCGGGCTACAGAGGCTGCGGACAGCTTCACAGTGCAGTGCCACCAGGGAAGAATAATTTAAATGCTTATATTAAATTAACAATTATATACCCACTTCCCCCTTATTTTTCAGAAATATATTAATATGAACTATACTTTAGAGACAGGAAGCAAATGTAGTTACAAGACATAGTTATTGACTTCATAGCCAACATGCTGTATAATATCACTAAGAAGCTATTTCAAAATAACTGAGACCTCTTTAGACTTGTGGCAGGCTTTTGGGTCTTGCTCTGGGTCAATCCTGTTTGGCTGGACTTTTGCCCATGAAGGGATGGGTAACTCGGGGTGCTTAATTTGGAAACTATTCTTTGTCTTTTCTGTATTGTTTACTAATTGTATTAAAGTTCCTTCCCGTTAAAAAAATGTAACTGAGACATCTCTTTAAATGCCAAACACCAACCCCTTATTTTTGGTGAATCATCAAAATTAGTCTTCTAAAAATGGATTACATCCAGCACAATTTAACCTTTTCTTGATGACAAAAATCCTCATGAAAAATTTCTCAAATCTATCCCTTTCTCATCATCTAGTTGCTGCAATGTACAATTCAGACTGAACTTTTATTGAGACCAGTACAAGGGAGTTTGATTTAATTTTCCACATCACAACCAAACAAAATGTTTCTAAAAATAAAGAAACATGAAGATAATCACGTGGCCTATGAACATCCCATGGATTATGCCTGTCAACTACTTTTTGATCTTAGTCCACCTTTCTGCCACTGTCAGTCCTCCCTGCTTCTAATCCATGCCTAAGCTGCTTCTGAAAGCTGTTGAACTGCTTTACTTTACCTGAATTTCTTTTTCTTGAAGAGAAGTATATGGTAGATTCTGGCGTTTTAGAGAATGTTTACTTCCAGACATACTGAAGTCACAATTCAGAAAAGTCAGTCTCTTCTACCATATACCATCAATGTAAATCAGCCCGACACACAGTATAAAAGCCAATGTGGATGCTCAATAAATACCTGTGTACGAATGTTGCCTGGTTCCTAGTGCCCTAATTAGTATCTGGTGCTACACTTTCATCACCCTGTATGTTGCAAATACAGTGTACCTAGTTTGTTCTGGTGTCTGGAAACAGGAAAAAAAAAAACAACAAAAAAAATCCAACAACAAATAAAACCAGTAAGTAAAAATGAGACAAAAAGCCAAAGATAATTCATGGGAGAAATGCAAATAGCCAATAAACCTATGGGGAAAATGTTCAATTTCACTGGGAATTGAGTTCCTGAATTAGAGCAATAAAATATTTTCCCCTACATTCAAATTGACAAATACCTCCGTAACTACGCAAACAATAGCCAAAATGATGGGTATTTTAAAGAAAAGTTGATAGTGACTTCAAGGAAATGGCTACTCTCCCATGCTGTTGGTAATATATTTTAGTAGTGTCTTTGCAGAACCAGGAAGGAGAAGCAGGAGGAGAGGGAGAGAGGCAGGGAAGAAAATGCTGCTGCGGCTGCTGCCTGAGTATGTGTAAATGTGAGTACACACGTGTGTGCTCAAAAACACAAAGGTGATGTGCAGTTAAAAGCAGAGGTTGGAGGGATGTGGGCATAAGTCAAAGAATGTCAGCATTCCAGAATCTGAACCAGATCCTGAGAGTCAAGAACAGATTTTCCTCTAAAGTCTCTGAAGGGAGTATGGCTCTGCTGATACTTTTAGTCCAGTGAAACAGATTTGGGACATCTGATGTCTAGAACTGTGAGTGAATAAATCTCTAATTTTAAGCCACCAAGTTTGTGATTTGTTACTGCAGGCATGGAATGAGCACACTATGTATCCATTAAACGTCAGATGAATGAATAGGGGAGTTCCAAACAGATATGATGTCCAGTTCATGTTACATAAATGGAGGGCTGGATTAAAGTGTAAAGTATTGGGTTAAAGTATACTGTCTATGCTGAACAAAAGGGAAGCCCAGGTCTGATAACAACCTCAGCTATCTTTTCAGTACCCCAAAGGTACAACAGTGAAACTGGGGGGCTACAAGGCCCATCTGTTATT